GCTCTACCACTGAGCCACCTTCCCAGTCCCTAGAGATCCTTTTATCAGGAAAAATGTTTTAGTTAATTTTGTGGCACAGAAAGCAATATATATGTATAGATATATAATTTTATCCACTTTTTGGTGTTTTTGTTTTGTTTTTTTGTGAAGTATTTTGTTGTTGTTCTGGAATAAGGACTTCATCTTAAGACCTTTGAACTTACTCTGCTTTCTTGCACACTACTGGCTTTCTACCATGTAAGCTATCCCACTAGTCTGGAAGTAGAGCTGTGGCTCAAGTGGTAGACCACTTGCCTTGAGCAAAAGGAGCTCTCAAGGACAGAGCCCAGGCCTTAAGTTCAAGCCCCAGGACCAGCAAAAAGAAGGGGGAAAAAAAGTCAGTCTCAGGGATTTTCCTGTAAGGGCTGACTCCAAACCTCCATAGGATTACAGGCTTGAACTCTATGTGCCTGCTTCCTAGTTATTTATTTATTTTTTTGGTTGGTCATGGAGCTTGAACTCTGGGCTTGGGCCCTGTCCCTGCGCTCTTTAGCTCAAGACGAGTACTCTACCACTTGAGCCACAGTACCACCGCCACCGGTCCTAGTTATTTCTTAATCCCATCAAACTGGCAATCAAAATTGACTGTCTAGCACTGTGCCAGTGGCTCACGCCAGTAACCTTAGCTACTCAGGAAGCTGAGATCTCAGGATTGTGGTTCAAAGCCAGCTTGGGCAGTAAAGTCCGTGAGACTATCTCCAATAAACCACTAAAAAACCAGAAGTGGTGCTGTGGCTCAAACAGTAGAGAGCTCGCTTTGACCTGAAGAGCGCAGGAACAGTGCCAAGCTCAGAGTTCAAGCCCCGTGGCCGACTAAACAAATAAATAAATAAATAATTTGACCATCTAAACTGGATGAAAAGTCTGAGAGCTTGTGTTCCTGAGTTCAAGCCTTAGTACCAGCACAAAGTAACATGGAGTAACCCTTGTTTTAAATATCATTGAATTCCTGATGTTTCATCTTCATACTGAATAGTGGCATTCCATGGCCACCATGCCCCTATATATATCTATTATTTGTATCTATATCTATGTATGTCCTGGCTCTCTTCAACTGGACTATTTATTATTTAATCAAAACCTTTTCCTGCCCTATATTCAAGCTGTTCTCTGCCAATAAAACTGCCTACTTTGAGTGCATCTGTAGAAACTTACTCTCTGCAGCCTTAATCATCCATTCGTCTTTTCTGTCTGTCCCTTTGGGAGCCGAGAATGATGGACTTATTACATCTTTTTTAAAAAAAAAATAAGTTTATTATGAAAATACCATACAGAGGGGTTACAGTTACATGGGCAAGGTAATGAGTACATTTCTTATCAAGCATTGTTGCCTCCTCTGTTTTTCCCCTACCATCCCTTCCCTCCCACCTCAACTACCCCCCCCCCAACCCCTACACCTTTTCTTTACCTCCTGTACTCACTCAACCCCTGCCCTAGTGCAGAGCCCAAAATATTAGTAGAATTGAAAGATCTAGAGTAAGATAGAAAAAAAAAGTCACCTATCAGTACCTGGAACACTCTACTAGTTGCTACAGGTCAGGTAGCTTCTTTAGTGCTCACAAGATACTATGACAGGATTACAAATGGGTTGAGGATCTTGAAGAGTTCTGGACACTACAGGCCTGGGCAGAGCTGAAAACCCTTTCATCAGCATTGCCCTCTGGGAGACTCTAAAGCAGGGAACTCAGGTCGAGGCCTCCGATCTTCCAAAGGAGTCACGAACCCCCCGAGTCCACAGCGGCCTCATGCGAGCACCTTTCGGGGCCGACTATCAACCAGGGCAAACTCTAAAACCCACTGCCGGTGCCTGGTAGGGTGTGTGAGGAGAGATGGGGAAACTCCTCAAAGCCGACACTGCAGCGACTCCGGCACGCAGAGAACGGCGCGGCACCGGGAAGAGGACGCGCCAGCCCGCTCGGGCGTCTCTGATTGGCCGCCGGCGTAGCTTGGATCGCTGGGGGTGTTACGTCACATCCGCCGGGCCCGCCATCTTGTTCCCAGGGGCAGTTGGCGGAAGAGATCGCGCTCCGGGGTCGCCGGCTTTGCCTTCTTGCCCGGAGTACTCGCAGCCCCGCATCTCGGGGTGGCGGGGCGTCTGCTGTCTAGCCCCGGGATCCGTTCGTCGACTTCCCCCCGCCCCGCCCTCCCGTGCCTCGCTTGGCTGGGGCATAGCCACAGCGCGGGCCCCAGCTCCTGGGGCGGCGATCCATGGAGTAGGGTCCCGGACCGTTGTCCCGACGAGCGAGCGCGACCGAGCGTGGCCCCCTCCCCCGCCCGCCCTCCCTCCCTCCCTCCTCCAGCCGCGACATGGCCAACAACAGCCCGGCGCTGACGGGCAACTCGCAGCCGCAGCAGCACCAGGCGGCGGCGGCGGCGGCGGCGGCGGGGCCGCCAAGCCCGCGGTGTCGGGCAAGCAGGGCAACGTGCTGCCGCTGTGGGGCAACGAGAAGACGATGAACCTCAACCCCATGATCCTGACCAACATCCTGTCGTCGCCCTACTTCAAAGTGCAGCTGTACGAGCTCAAGACCTACCACGAGGTGGTGGACGAGATCTACTTCAAGGTACGTCGCGACTGGGCCTTGATGGGGTGGTGGGTGTGGGTGGGGGGGGGAAGGCCTGGTGGGGGGATTCCAGGTCCGGGCTCCGAGGGGGTCTGGAGGAAAACCCGGTGGAGGCGGCCTCCCTCCCCACCCCCCTCCCCGCTCCTCCGAGGCCTGAGGCTTTGTGGGTGTGGTGTGTGTGTGTAGGGGGGGGTGTGGGGAGGTGGGGAGGAAGGGGAACCGAGGCCCGGTTGGCGGGTCGAGGAGAGGGACCCGGGGTCGGGCCGGGGGCCGCCTTGTCTTCTTTACAGATCTTTTTTTTTTTTTAAGAACCAGGAGCTCCCCCGCCGCTATCGAGGTTTCCTCTTTTTCTCCTCCGCCTCCTGCCTAGCCCTGGGAGGGGATTCGTTTGGGGTGGGGGGGAGAGAGGGTTTTAGGAGAACGGAGAAAAAAAGAGTAACCAAAGCCTCTCCATCCAGTTCACGGTCTTAAAGATAACATTCCTTACGATGCGGATCTCTCCCCCCAGCGCCAACTTGGTGCTTTTCTGTCTCTCTCACCCCTGGGCCAGAGCGTGTAGTGACTTCGGTGTTGGCCTCGTGTTTGGTACTGTCCAGGACAGACAGGATAATGGTTAGTGCTGTGAGTGTATGTGTGAGTGTGAGTGTGTGTGTGCGCGCACGCGCGTGCCCGCGCGCGCGCGCGCGTGTGTGTGTGTGGTGTAGAGTAGAGGGCTGGGCGGTATGAGGGTGGAGAGGTGCCAGGGCAAGAGGTGTACAGAAGGCCTGGAAATTTTCCCAGCAGGAAGTGAGGAGTAAGAGGTCCCAGCCACCTGCGCATTGGGCATATTGCGAATTATCTGGGCCCTGGGCTTCTGCGGCAGGGTCGGTGCTGGCTTGGCTGTGCTGGGGAGCTCACCAGGCGCCTCCTCACTGCACTCTTGTCTCAGTTCTTGTTTCGTTAGCAGGATTGACTCAGTCTTGCAGCGAGGCTCGGAGCAGCCCAGGGTCGCAGGTAGAGGTATGCACTATTAATCATGCTCAATCGCCATAAATGCCTATTTCCCTGGTTAAATAAACGGCTACTTAGATTTTTTTGGGGGCCATTGGTTTTTGGTCGTCACAGACGAGGTTAGCTTTCTCCGCTTCCTTGCAAATTACATAATTTAAAAAATAACTTCCAGGCCTCCAAAGTTAGTTTACGTTTTAACGTATATTAATAATAGCCCAGGGTGCTTAAGCATTTTTAACTAGAACATCAAGTAGACAGTATTTTGTTTGTATTGACACTTTAAAACTCGACAGACCCATGTATTTTTCTGTCATCTGAATACGTGTGTTGACAAAAGGACATTCTCTTTTGCTTGCCATTTTTCGCAGTTAATTGCTTAGGTTATGTTACTTTTTTATAGAAAACATCTGGGGGAATACAATTTAACTTTGGGTAACAAATTTGGTATTAGTTTACAAGAGTGTAGTAGGTTTAACTGTAACAATATGTACTAGTTTTAACTTTTTAAAGGTAAGATCTTTCAACATGGATACAGTGTGGCACACAATAATTAATCATGCAGCTAACTTTGAATAGGTGAGAATTGGGTTCCTGCACCTTTTGTATAGGCTGTCTTAAAAACTAGGTAAATGTTGCTATAGTAGAAAATTCTTGTTTTCAGTTTAGTTTCAAGTATTGTTTTCAAACAACTTAAGAAAGACCCAGGTTTTGTTAAGGTATTTGGATCAAATAATCAGTGACATAGGTAGGCTTATAATACTTTGATCCATCTGATTTTTATCCTTATACTGTACCTACTCTTTGTCTAACTTTTAAGGAATTAAAGCATCATTATATAGCAAATTCCAGAAGTAAGCTCTAAAAGCCAAGGAGTCGAGCAAAACAGTGTAGTGCTTAAATCTAAATGCAAACTTCCTTGTCTAAGCAGTGAGGACTACAAAATGTTTTCACATATATGTGAAAATAGACTTAAGAATATGTACTGAAATAACTGGATTTAAGGAACAAGTTTTGTGGATTTCTTTCATATGTAAAAATGTCTTGTATGGTTTTTATAAAGATAATGCTATTTCTTAATGCCTGTTCACACTTCTGATAGTTTATGTTCTGGGAAAATCAGATTGGTTTGCATAATTAGTCTAAAAATGCATTAAAACTAGAATGAATTTGAAGCTGGGCAATGGTGGCTCACGTCTCATCCTAACTACTTAGGAGGCTGAGATCTGAGGATCATAGGTGGAAGCCAGCCCAAGCAAGAAAGTCCCTAAGACTTATCTCCAATTAATCACTACAAAACTGGAAATAGATCTGTGGCTCAAGTGGTAGAGTGCTAATGGTGAGCAAAAAAGCTAAGGGAAAGTGCTCAGCCCTGAGTTCAAGCCCCAGGACCAATACGAAAAAACACACAAAAAAACAACTTGATCCTAGTTAAAATTATAAAATTACAAATAAAATTTAAAAACTAGAAATGTCTATAATTCTTTATCAAAGTAATTTGTTACAATTCTAGTGAACTTTGAAGGATTCTGGGGATCTAATCCATGCTAAGGCAAGCACACTACCTCTGAGCTACATCCTCAGTCACTACTTCTTATTGTATGATAATAGATTTAAAATCCATCAAAAAATTATACAATTCTGGTTATTTTGAAGATACTCTTCAAGTTAATGCTTAAGTTTTAGTAATACTTTTTACTTCAAATTGTAAACTGAAGTTTTGTTAAAATGTAAATCTTTAAGTGATTCTTAAGAAGTTGTGCAAATTTCCTGATTCTCACGTGTAGATAGGAAGGAGCTATCTAGTTTAATGGGATTTCTGCTCTGCAGACTTTTGAAGGTTTTGTTAAGTGCTAGTAGTTTTGTTTTCTTTCAGAGTCTATACAATGTTTTCCAAAGATTTTTACACTCTTAATGTAAATGAACAATAATGTATACAAAAATGCCAAAATAGTTTTTGGGAAACTGCTCTATTATGAATTTGAGATTACTTCACTCAGGTTTTAAAAAAGTTCAAAGTGTGAATGTTTGTTGTGTTCCTCTTTTCTATTTTCAGGTCACACATGTTGAGCCATGGGAGAAAGGAAGCAGAAAAACAGCTGGCCAGACGGGGATGTGCGGAGGGGTAAGTAGAAGTACGTGCATTTTTTCAGTTCTTCTGTCTGATAACTAAGTTTATTGGAAAACTAAGTCTCATTACAGTCAACTGAGAATTTATTTGCAGATCTTAGACATTTAAAAATGTAAATTCAGTTTTCCAGTGAATGGTCAGGAGAACTGTTTTTATACTTCACTCTTAAGAATTATGGCTTCTTAGGTTTTGATCAGATTTTGGGTGTGAGGTATCTGTTAATTGTTTTCCTTTTTAACTGTTTCCCCTAAAGGTTCGAGGTGTTGGAACAGGAGGGATTGTTTCTACAGCTTTTTGCCTGTTATACAAATTATTTACTTTGAAGTTAACTCGAAAGCAAGTGATGGGTCTTATAACACATACAGACTCTCCATATATTAGAGCCCTTGGATTTATGTATATAAGGTATGCATGTATTTATCTACAATTTAAAATTAATAGCTTCATTTTGATTCACGGCGTAATAAATGTTTCATTTTTCTAGGTATACACAGCCCCCTACAGACCTGTGGGACTGGTTTGAGTCTTTCCTTGATGATGAAGAGGTATGTCAGCAAGGGTAATAATTCGTTTTTTTTTCTGCTTACTTTCATACTCCTATTCATTAGAGTTTTAGTGTTTTCTAGGATTTTCTATACACTTAATTCAATCACACTTGGAGTTATTGTCCTTTTGCTAAGACTTGATGGCATTAGTATTTTCATTTATTTAATATATATTGCTAATGACCAAAATTTTTCTCTCCAAATTATATCCTGTGTATTGTATTGATCCTTGTACAGTTGATAGTGAGTTTTTTAAGAGGGCCATGCTGCAGATTGAGGTAATAAGAGACTTACACATTGCATGTTGATCCAAATGCTAGTATCCATTTGCATAGAAGTACACACTTAGGGAGATTGTTGTGACTTAGTCAAGATGACAAAGTATTTTAATTCTAGCTTTTTTTTATTTCTTTGCTTTTTTTTAAATTTTGAAGTGAGAGTCTCACTGTGTTACTCAGGCTGGCCTCCAACTTGGAGTCTTTCCCTTCAGACTCCTAAATATCGGATTACATACATCACCATATCTGGCTAATTAGAACTTTTGGACTCCTAGTATACCACACATGATTTAAAAAGAATTATTTTTTAACATGTTGGTAAAGACATGGGTTTGATGCCTAGCACTGCCAAAAGCAAAAAAAAAAGAACTTAATTACTTCAGTTTTAAAAAATTTTTAATCTAGCTTGCCACCCTGAGACTCACATGTGTTCAGAAAAGGAAGTTTACTTCAGAAAGCTGTATTTACTGAGTCAGATTTAAAGCATACTTGTGTTAATTTGTTTACATACTTAAGTCTAAAATATATCAATGTACTCAGTTATGAACTGTGTACGTGTAATTTCCACTTTTTTGTGTGTGCTTGTACTGTTACCAGCTTAATTTAGGGCCTCTTGTCCTGCTGAGCTTCTTTGCTTACAACTGATGCTCTACTACTTGCATCGTGCCTCCAGTTTGGCATTTTTCCTGGTACCTTGGGGATGGAGTCTCTGACTTTTCTGCCCTGTCTGGCTTCAAACCCCAATCCTCCCAGTCTCAGCTTCTTAATAGCTATTACAGGCACAAGCCACGGGCTCTTGGCTTCTCCCCTAATAAAACAGATTTTTGTAGGCTGTATGTTAAGTCCTGTTTTAAAATCTCAAAAAGAATTTGTTGAATTATAGAATGTTCTAAATGAAAAGGTCTTATTTTCACTATTGCACACCTAAAATAGTCTCATTTAGACATTTTTATTTTTCTCTACCCTTTTTCCTTCCCCTTTTGGACTATTTACTGATCAGTTTAATAACTCAGAAGATCCAGAAAGCATTCTAGTTGATAACCATAATCATTAAAGCTTTTTTCTTCTTTAGTTGAGTGTTTTTACTAAAGCACTTCTTTCTGTCTTCAAAAAAAAGCATGTCCCTCTTTATAACTGTTACATTAGGTTTTTTTCTGAATGTTTCTAATTAATCTGTTTTTTACAAACTCTCAGGTCCTCTACTTAAGCTAACTCATGTTTTCTTCTTTAGATATCTGCAGCGATTATATTTGGAAATACTGTATATCTGAACACTTAAATGTGTGTGAGTGCAAGCAGTTTTACCTTTAGCTCTTGTTTTCCTGTTTAGATAACAAATCTCACTTTCCTTGTGTGCTTGCACTATAGGTTTGGGACTGACAATAGCTGACTAACATGTCCTGAGCTGTGAGAGGGCATAGCAAGAAGGCCTTCATGCGGTAATGACCCTTTTCAGAGACAATGGTCATCATGGATTATGCGTTTCCAATTATTTGTTCATTTATTTATTTTCTACATAACTTTAAATTAGAAACCTCACTGCTTCATGGCAGTTGGTTTGCTATTGCTTCCAGTTTTCTTAGGGCTTCATTTTGTATTGCAGCTATTAAAAGATAGCCAAGAGTTAACTGAACTAGTTCATATACCTAGGTTACATTACCAGGTATAATGTATTCAAATGTGTCCACAGACAGATATTCTTAGTAAGTATGTGGAATGGAAATTTAAGTCAGTTGTTAGTCATGTAAGGGGTTTTTCATATTAACTCAGTTCCCTTTATGCCCATGAAACTGCAGGGTTTGTTCTCGCCTGCATGTACACACTAAGCCCAAATACTTCTCTTATCATTCATTACCAGATTAGGATGCAAAAATTGAAACTTTCCTGTTAGAATCTTTTTATACTTGAGATTCCAAAGATGGTAAATTATTTTAGTATGCAGCTATATGCTGAAATCACCTTTTTTTTTTTTGACGGTTAGGGTATCTTTTGTGTTTCATAGGACCTAGATGTGAAGGCTGGTGGAGGCTGTGTAATGACCATTGGAGAAATGCTTCGGTCTTTTCTCACAAAACTGGAGTGGTTTTCTACTTTGTTTCCAAGAATTCCTGTTCCAGTTCAGAAGAACATTGATCAACAGATTAAAACTCGACCTAGGAAAATCAAGAAAGATGGAAAAGAAGGTGCTGAAGAAATAGACAGACATGTGGAACGCAGGCGTTCAAGGTAATGTTACAAACTGTTTTGGTGGGGTTTTTTGAAAGTATACTCTATACAAGCTGGTGGTTCTTGGTAATTAGTAGCAAGTTCTTAAGAGGCTGTGGGGGGGGGGGGGGTGGGGGAGGGGAGGGGAGGTTAGGTTATGTGCCACTACTAGGACTTGAACTCAGAGTTCTTACCCTCTCCAACTTTTTTAGTCACAGTTGGTATTTCAGTGCTTGGGCCACATCGTCAGTTCCATTGTTTTGTTAGTTGGAGATAAAAAGCCTCTGAGATTTGTCTGCTAGGGCTGGTTTCAAACTACAATTCTCAGATCTCAGCCTCTTGAGTAGCTAAGATTATATAGATAGGTATGAGCCACCAGAGTCTGGCAGGTTTTATACTGTTCATTTTACTAGTGTGTTACTTCTTCCCCCTCCCCGTAAAAAATAGCCTTTTTGTGTACGCCAGTCCTGGCTTGCATGGATACTGTCTCTGAGCTTTTTTTTTTGCCTTTCGTGGGGCTTGAATGAGGGGCCTGGACGCTGTCACTGAGCCTCTTTTTACTCAAAGCTATAGCACTCTGCCACTTGAGCTATAGTGCCACTTCTGGCTTATTCAAGTAGTTAATTGAAGATAAAAAGAGTCTCACAGGGATTTTTCTCTGCTTGTGCTGGCTTCGAACTGCAATCTTCAGATCTCAGCCTCCTAAGTAGTTAAGACTACAGACATGAGCCACCGTCACACTGCTCATTTTATTTCCTTATGTGGACAATTAAACCCAAGGATTTATATGTGAGGAAGCACTCTACCACTGAACTATACTTCCAACTGAGGATTTAATTGTTCCTGATTGTATGTAAGATAGGATTGAACAGTGCTAATAGGATTTTTGCAATATGTTTGGGTAGGTTTTGAAGGAAGGGGCTTAAGGGGCATTGCATGGTGTTGGGAATTCAACCCAGTGCGTTGAGCTGTGTCCCCAGCTCTTTATAATATTTTTATTGATATTTCCTTATTTCCCATTTTTTAGATCTCCAAGGAGGTCTCTGAGTCCACGGAGATCCCCAAGAAGATCAAGAAGCAGAAGTCATCATCGGGAGGGCCATGGGTCTTCTAGTTTTGACAGAGAGTTAGAAAGAGAGAAGGAACGCCAGCGGCTAGAGCGGGAAGCCAAAGAAAGAGAAAAAGAAAGGCGAAGATCCCGAAGTATTGATCGGGGGTTAGATCGTAGGCATAGCAGGAGTAGGGAAAGGCATAGGAGCCGCAGTCGGAGTCGAGATAGGAAAGGGGACAGAAGAGACAGGGATCGGGAAAGAGAGAAAGAAAATGAGAGAGGGAGGAGACGAGATCGAGAGTATGATAAGGAAAGAGGTATTGATCGAGAAAAGGAGAGGGACCGGTCCAGAGAACGCTCCAAGGAACGGAGAAGTAGGGGGGAGGTAGAAGAGAAGAAACATAAAGAAGACAAAGATGATAGGCGGCATAGAGAGGACAAAAAAGATTCCAAGAAAGAAAAAAAACACAGTAGAAGTAGAAGCAGAGAGAGGAAACACCGGAGTCGGAGTCGAAGTAGAAATGCAGGGAAACGAAGCAGGAGCAGGAGCAAAGAGAGATCAAGTAAGCACAAAAATGAAAACAAAGAAAAATCAAATAAACGAAGTAGAAGTGGCAGTCAAGGAAGAACTGACAGTATTGAGAAAAAAAAACAACATAGTCCCAGCAAAGAGAAATCTAGAAAGCGTAGCAGAAGCAAAGAACGTTCCCACAAACGAGATCATGATAGTAAGGACCAGCCAGACAAGCGTCGGAGGAGCCAAAGTGTTGAACAAGAGAGCCAAGAAAAGCCACAGAAAAACAAAGATGAGACTGTGTGAAGATTTTTGTATAAGTGGATCACATTGAATCCTATCAACATTTGATTAAATCTGCTTTTTTTTCCCCTGAGTTGAAATTGTGCAGTAGTTAAACTCTTCAAGCTCTCCATAGGCTGCATTTTCATTTCTTCATTTGGTGTAGGGAAGTGCCTTTGTAATCCCATTCATTGCATTGACATTTTCACCCAGTTGAGTTGATGATACATGATGCACAGAATGTTCTTGCATTTTTATTGTTTGGTTGTTGTTGTTTTTTTTAAGATGTACAGTCTGTACATATGTCCTGAAATGTTTTAATTCCTTTAGGCATGGTTGCCATGTTGGTTAAATTTGTATAAGGCAATAAACTGCCGCTACTTATATTTTTTTGTAGGTGTGGGATTATGGTTGTGTACTGAAGTTAGCATGGCTGTGCTTTCATAATAGAATGCTGAAGACTTTGGGAATGGATCTTGGATGTCGTCTTCTAGGAGAGTTGTGTTTTCAGTGTACATGAAGGCGACAATTGTAGGCTTAACAATTCTTGTCCACTGTATATTATCTTGAAAGGCTCTTGTTAATATGTTGTACTTAATATTCTCCACAGTTAACTTTAGAGAGAATTTATAAGAAGTTAGTTTCTGATGCAGAAGTTTAAATTAGGCTGTGATTGGATCAAGTCCTTTTAGCATTCTACCTCAAAGGGACATTTAGTATGCCTAAAACGTATTCACTTAGTTATCCTTTTTTATTTGAAAACTACATGTAACCTTTTTTTTTCCTTGATTCTTTCTCAGATTTTTAAAGTACTATATTAAAAAAAATTAATGTCTAAAGCCTAGCATTCTTGGAGCAACCCTGTACTAATATGTAATTGGGAGAGGGTGGGGCAGATGAATAGAGAAACAGATTCAAGCCTCAAGCTTCCAAAGCATTTTTATAAGTGGAAAATACTTAAATTATGAAACAGCTTGATATAGCATCCTTTTTTAAAACTAAACTTTTTTTATTGATAATGAAGATTGCTGTTTTGTTTTTAAACATAATATAGAACAATATTAAAAGTAATGCTGTGCTGCATTATTTAAGACTATCAGCAAATTGATAGATTGTTCTTATGACCTGTATTCTGAGAACTATCATGAGTGTGGAATAAATACTGGATTAAATCCTTTATTCTGGGTGTTGGCTTTTCCCCCATTTGTTACCTTTTCTTTTTTAAAGTTCTCTTAAGTGGATAAAATACTAGTAAAGTCACACTGTGTGGAGAGATAACCTTGGCTATAGATAGATAAAAATCAATTTTAAACTAGATTCAAATCTGATATTCTTAATAGCCGGTACTTTTGTTGGAGATGTTTTGTCAGTCACTGAGGAGGGTAATCTCCTGATTAGTTAGTTCCATGTTAAAGGTGCTTATTGGTGTTAATTTTTCTTGGACTGTATGTTAGTATTTACCATCTGGACTTGAAGGAAATTTTTATAACCAGTTATTTTTAAAACAATAAGCCCAGAGTGATAGATTTCATTAGTGGCAGGACTAAAAGTGAGTGTTGATGACAATATAGTGGTGTTTCTGTACCAACATGTATTTTAACCCAGTGGTTACGTTTGCCAACCGAAGGACACTCAGAAGCTACCTTGCAAAACTGCTACATGGAGCCAAGAGTCCTCCATAACATGGGCTAAACATTTGTACCTAATTAAATTTAAGAAGAAATTCATTAAATGAACAAATTCCTCTTTTAAAATGCTGTTTGCTTTTTTGAAGAAAATTCATGTTTGAATTGACCATCAAGTGACATACATAGGTAGACAGAAAAGGTAAAAATCTTCATGAAAGCCAGTAAGGTGGGGAATAGGGGTGTATTTGGATTTTTTGTGTGTGTGTTGGGGGGGTCCAGTTGTGGGGCCTGAACTCTGAGCCTGGGTGCTGTCCTTCAGCTCAAAACTAGTGCTCTACCACAGTGCCACTTCTGGCTTTTTTTTTTTTTTTTCTGCTTATGTGGTGCTGAGGAATTGAACCCAGGGCCTCATGTATGCAAGGCAAGCATTCTACCACTGAGCCACCTTCCCAGCCCGGATTTATTTTATTTCTTTATTTTTTTAAATATGTAGTGTCAGTACAGCCCTGGAAGGAAGGCCTCAATCCTGCCTTCACTTCCTAACTACTGAGGTTCTAGGCATGTACCACATACCCAGTGTAGTACAAACTTTTTAAAAATGGGCTTCTGGTTTTTGTCTTTGCCATGCAGAGGATTGGAGCAAGGCTTACACACAGTAGGTAAATGTGCTGCTTCTGAGCTCTATCCTCAGCCCCTGAAGAATCTGCATTTAGCATACCTAAATTATGCTACTCCGTTCAATACAACCCTGCTTGGAATAGTTCGGTATTTAAATGGTTTGAGCATTTAAAATACCCAAGTTGAAGCTGGACTCCAGTGGCTCACACCTATAATCCTAACTATACACATACTGAGGTTTCAGGTTTGAAGTTCAGTGCCATCCCAGGCAGGCAAATTCACAAGACCTCTCCAGTAAGCCAGCAAAAAGCTGGAACCAGAGGTGTGGTGTAAGTGTTTGAGCACCAGCTGTGAGTGGGAAAAGCTCAGCAACTAAAAACTCAAGGCGCGGAGTTCAGGCTCTCCAGTACAAAAGAATGGAGGTGAAAGTGCCATCACAAGTTATGATTTTGTTTTTGGTGGCCTTGTGGCTTGAACTCAGCCTTACACTTCCTAGGCAGGCATTCTACTAAGTTACTCCTAGCCCTTATCTGTGCTTTTTTGTTAGTCATATCTCTTACATAATCATGATCTGTGCTGTAGCATGCAGGTATAATATATTCAGGTGTGTAGGAGAGTGCTATTTCAGCTCACAGAACAAAGGATTGTGCTGTTCAAGTTGAACAGCTGACCTAATGCATTTCATACTGCACATAAACTATGAGGTTTATCATAAGGGTTGGGAAAATAAAACCGCAAGGAAATTCTCATAAGCTCTGATCTGCAAGTACCTTCCCCTGGCGCTTTATTCTGTCAATTACTTAGCTAATTGGGTCGGTTTTAACACACAATGGATGTGTGTGTGTGTGTGTGTGTGTGTGTGTGTGTGTATGTGTATCCCATCAATTCTAACCCCCTAACAACTGAAATTAAAACAAATGGCACTTGCTGAGCAGATGCAAAAAGTCTTGTCCTCTCTCCCTCTTAGAAACTTTCGAGTCCTCCTAGATCCAGCAGTGCCAGCAAAAGACATTTCTTCTTGAATGGAATATCTGATCCTGATGTGGGAAATGGAGTTATACCAAACCTTGTTCAGTACAGCTATTTTTGAACATGCCAGTTAGCTTTTAAATTTTTTATGGGAGATAATGTGTGGGTGGTCGGGTTCCAAACCCACTCTTCATGGCCCTGCTTTGTGACTGTGGAACTCAGGTCTTCCAAACTTTCCTTTGCCATCTGAGAGAAAAATTTTACTATGGAAGAGGCTGCAGAGGGCATGAGCTTCTTCTGGCTACTGTCTTGGTTCTGCCAGGTGTAGAAGCCAGTAGGATAATCCAGGTCATTCCGAAAATTTCAGTGGCATGTCACTGATGGAAGTTCTTAGCAAATTCTCCCTGCCAGCTTCCCAGAAAGCCTTGTTGTGCCCCAGCAGGCAACTTCCCAGGGAGTCATAGCACTTCACTTAGTAATGGCCTAGTTTTTTGTTGACAATCCTCCTCTCCTTTCCCCCATTCTCCAGCCCCCTTCAAGATCTCAGCACCTAGGTCAAAGCTACATTCTCTCCATCAAAGTCAGTTTTTCAAGAGAACCTCTTCCAAATTTGTGTCTTGTTGGGCACTCACTATTGCTATAGTTGTTCTCTTACTAATCCCCTGTTACTGATTACTAATTCTTTTTTTTAAATTAATTAATTTTTTTTATTTGTGAACATACTGTACAGAGGGGTTACAATTACATGGGCAGGATAATGCGTACATTTCTTACCAAGCATTGCAGCCTCCTCCTTTGGTTTACCCTTCACATCCCTTCCCAGCCTCCCCCCTCCCCCCCCATCCCAACCCTTCTCCTCCCCCCCCCTTCCTCCCTGATTACTAATTCTTTACATCAGACTTTCCTTGTTGAAATTATTGTATTCAATAGGCATAGAACATAGGTCCTGAATGTGTGTTGATGCCCATCACCTAGGAACCACCTCATTAAGTTGATGACTTCTAATGTAAAGGGCTTGCTTAGCTCAGTACATTTACTGATAATAATTTAAATGAATTAGACTGGCTTTCTTCAGAGGTTTAATTGAGAAATAAGAATTGAAGGATGGAGATGTGGCTCCAGTGGTAAACCTTTGCCTATCTAGCAAGCATTTTGCCTTGAGTTCAAATCCTAGTACTTAAAAAATAGAAACAAGCCGGGTGCTTGTGGCTCACGTCTGTAATCCTAGCTACTCAGAAGGCTGAGATCTGAGGATCACAGTTCAAAGCCAGCCCAGGCAGGAAAGTCCATGAGACTCTTATCTCCAATAAAGCACTAGAAAACCAGAAGTGGTGCTGTGGCTTAAGTGGTAGAGCACTCACCTTGAGTTGAAGAGTATAGGGACTGTGACCAAGCCCAGAGTTCAAACTCCATGACCGACAAAAAATAAAAATAAAAACAAAAAAGTGTCAAACGGTTTTGCTGGGTGTGGGTAGTGCACACTTGTAATTTTAGCTACCCCAAGAGGCTGATCCAGAGTACTGCAGTTTGAAGCCAGTCTTAAGACTGGAAAAGCTAAAAGCTAAGCCACAGATGTGGTTCAAGTGTTACAGCAGATTTGCCTAGCAAGTGAAAGTTCAGGCTACCACCAAAAATAATAAAGAATTGCCTAATCCTTAAAAGGTTGTGCCAGACTTGCATCCTCATCGTGAGGTTTTAAGGATTGTCATAAGAACCAGGCACCAGTGGCTTATACCTGTAATCCTAGCTACTCAGGAGGTTGAGATCTGAGGATCATGATCTCAAGCCAGCCCAGGCAGGAAAGTCTGCAAGACATATCTCCACTAAATTACCAAAAAGAAAAAAAAGCTGTAATGTAGTTGTGGCTCAAATGTTTCAGCATTAGAAGCTCAAGGACAGCACCCAGGCCCTGAATTCAAGCCCCAGGCTGGCACCAAAAAAGAAAAGAAAAAGGCAGTATACCCTAATGCTACCTTGCTTCCTGCTAGCCATCTAGTCATTTTCCAGTCTGGCCAATGTATATCCTTGTAATTTCTCTTTTCCTTAAGATGGCCTGAGTTTCTTTTCCTTGGAACCAGGAACCCCTCCCTGGTTTATTATAATTCTGGGGGAAGGGGCTGGGAAGGTGGCTCAGTGTTAGAGCGCTTGCCTTACATGCTTGAGGCCCTGGGCTCGATTCCTCAGCACCACATAAGCAAAAAAGAAAAAAGCCGGAAGTGGTGCTGTGGCTCAAGTGGTAGAGTGCTAGCCTTGAGCTGAAGAGCTGAGGGACAGCGCCCAAGCCCAGAGTTCAGGCCCCACGACTGGACCAAAAAAAAAAAAATTCTGGGGGAAATCTCTATCTTTCTCAATCTCTGTCTGTGTTTGTCTCTCTTCAGGGGATCAAATCCAGGGCCTCATGCATACTAAGCACATACTCTACCACTGAACTAAATACTAACCCTAAATACTTTTTAATTTTTTTTTCAGTTATGGGACTTGAACTCAGGGCTTATGCACTATCCCTCAGCTCTTCAGCTCAAGGTGAGCATTCTACCACTTGAGCCCCAGCACCACTTCTGTTTTTTTTTTTCAGGTAGTTAATTGGGGGTAAGAATCTTATGGACTTCCCTGCCTGGATTGGCTTTGAACTGTGATCCTCAGATCTCAGCCTCCTGAGTAGCTAGGATTAAAATCTCCAATCTTCTTTTGGCCTCTGTATCACTGATATTTTTTTTTTGAGAAGGGAGGTGTCAAATCCAGGTCCCCACACTGTCTAGGCAATTGCTCTACCATTGAGCTAAATCCCCAAGTCCTATATTGCTGGTTTATCTTTTTATTCCTCTCTTTTTAAAATTGTTATTAAGTAGTTGTACAAAGGAGTTACAGTTCCATAAGTCAGGTTATGAATACAATGTTTCTTGGTCAATGTCACTCCTTCCCTAGTTCTCCCCCATTTCCCTTCTTTGCTGGTTAACCTTAATATTTTTAGTGTTACGCTACTAGCACACTTATGTTGAAACAGATATGTTTGTTGTTTTGCAAAAAAAAAAAATCTGAAAAAATTTCAGGCAGCCAGTGATTTTAGTAATTTCAAAACAACCAGGCACTATGGTGCACACCTGTAATCGTAGCTTCTTGGGCCATACTTCAAAGCCAACCCAGGCAGGAAAGTCTGTGAGACTCTTATTTCCAATAACCCTCCTTCCCCCAAAAAGAAGTGGGGCTGTGGCTCAACTGGTAGAGTGCTAGCCTTCATCAAAAGAAGTTCGGGGGGGGGGGAGCTGGGAAGGTGGCTTAGTGGTAGAGCGCTTGCCTTGCATGCCTGAGGCCCTGGGTTCGATTCCTCAGCACCACATAAGCAAAAAGAAAAAAGCTGGAAGTGGCGCTGTGGCTCAAGTGGTAGAGCACTAGCCTTGAGCTGAAGAGCTGAGGTACAGCACCCAGGCCCAGACCGGACACACACACACACACACACACAAAGAAGTTCAGGGACAGTGCCTAGGCCCTAAGATGAAGTCCCAATATCATCATAACACACAGGAAGGAAGGAAGGCAGGCAGGCAGGCTATACTTTTTTTTTTTGGGGGGTGGGCATCTGGTTGTGGGGCCTGAACTCTGGGCCTGGGCGCTGTCCCTCAGCTCTTCAGCTCAAGGCTAGCGCTCTACCACTTGAGCCACAGCACCACTTCCAGCTTTTTTTTCTGCTTATGTGGTGCTGAGGAATTGAACCCAGGGCCTCAAGCATGCAAGGAAAGCGCTCTACCACTGAGCCACCTTCCCAGCCCAGGCTAGGAATTCTTGTTTGGATTACCCTTGTACTTTTGTTGAAAGCCAATTGTCTATACAAGTGTGGACCTATTTTTTTTAATCTGTCCCATTGATCTTTAGTTCTCTATCTTGATGCCAATACAACCAGTCTTTTGTTTTACTGTTGTTTGGTTATACAGGAATTGAACCCAGGCTCTCAGACTTGCTAGGTAAGCACTCTATACTAGATTCACATCTCAGTCCTGATCCTACCCTAATTATGAACCTTTATAATAAAGTAGGAGAGAGTAAATACAATCCTTTTTTTAAAATACTATTTCTTGGTTAAAAGCAGAGATCAGATTGGCCATTTTGAAACTCAACCATTTAATGTGTGATTTCAGACAAGTACTCATTTATGTATTTTAAGAATTAGATAGTAGGTCAGATGCTGATGGCTCACATCAGTAATCCAAGTTACTCAGGAGGCTAAGATCTGAGGATCAAACTTCTAAGCTAGCTAAGGGAGGAAAGTTCATGAGCCTCTTATCTCCAATTCAGTCATGAAAAAAGCTGAAAGTCACCAAAAAGCTGAAAGTGAAGCTGCAGTTCAAGTGGTAGAGCACCAGCCTTTAGTGAAAAAGCTAAGGAACAGCACCCATGCCCTGAGTTCAAGCTCCTGTATTGGCACCAGAAAAAAAAATACACTAAAGTGCTTAGATTAAATGCTAATTTTTACTTAGCCTAAACTAGAATGGCTTTGGGAAAAGGTATTGGAACTACAGGGTGGTGCTGGGAGCAAGGAACAGACAGTGCTTAGAAGGAAGATCTCTCCATCTTTTCTCAGTTCTTTCCTCTTTGGTCCTAAAGCTCAGCAACAACTTGCTGCTGACAGCAAAACGGATCCACTCAGACCAAAATAAACACCCTCAGCAAACCACTCAACTAAGAATGAAAAATAAGCAAAACTGATGGGGATCCTAGAGTTTAAAATTCCATGGCACCAATAATTTTCTGTACAGTTTTGCCAATTTTTTTAAGGAAGTATATTTCACAAAAGAAAATAAGTACAATCTACACATTACCTTGAAGCCAAGATTACAGCCACTCTTTTGGCCCGCTTGGCATGGCTTTCTTCACCTCTCTTTTCAGTCTTTGTAATACCAATCTCTGCCAGTTCTCTAAATACTCCTAGTACAGGTAAGCTCAACAGAATCCAGCGTCCGCTCCCAATGCAGCCCCACATCCCATGAACTTCAGTGCTGCCCTCCTGAGGGCCACCCTAACTCTATTCTTTTGTGCCCATGAGTTTTGCTATCTACAGGATGGCTAGGGGACCAGAAAAATATCTGTCTTTGATTGGATTCAGCGTCATCTGTCTTAAAATGGTGAGTTCACCTTCACATTCATAATCTCTCTCTCTCTCTCTCTCTCTCTCTCTCTCTCTCTCTCTCTCTGGGGCTTAGGGGTTAGAGGAGATAGAACTCAAAATACTCTAGGGTCATACCAAGATGGTATGTTTAAAATTTAATGTGACATATTAGAAAAAGAAAAGATTATCATTATATTTTAAGAACAAAGATTTTTGGAAGAAGAAATCTGTCAGCAGCTTCTGACTTAGTTCAATAGGCAGATTCAAAGGGGGGAAAAATGAAACAGTAATATGAACTACCTCTGGCCTGTAAATTCTGTTTGGATTCCTTTGTGGTACATTTGTGAACTGGAAATGAGTTGTACAAAAGAATGCTTGTGTGGATTGAAAGATTGCTCACATTCTGTACAGAAATATGATTCACCTATTAGGGTTCTCATTGTTATTAGTTGTCTGTTTGAGGGCTCTGATTTATGTTTTATATTTCCCCAAATGATGTTTTTCCCTATGGTTCTAATTTCCTGAACTTTTCTTTTTCAGGTTGTTTCAGCTAAGACAGGTAACATTTTCTAACTTATAGGTTTTCCTTCCTCATATTTTGATTTTGATTTCTATTGTCGATTCATGGGCTGCCCTCAAATCTAAAGGCAATACCAAGAAAATAATAACGATATTTTCTGAGCACTTACATGGGGTGCTAACCCCACTATATCAGGTATTGGGAAAGCTATAACTGGTAAGACAATTGGATCATGTTTGAAAATAAGATCTTGTAAGATATTCTTAATTGTGTATCAAAATGTGTAGAGTTATATAGCAATGAATTTTCTTGTATACAGTTGGTCATGAGCAAAATATGACAGGGATCATTATTCTAGCCAAATCTTAGCTACAATAGTCTACCTTACAGAACTTTTCTTATTCATCTTCTGGGAAATTAGAGAAAACTAGAAACATTGTACTTCATTCATGATTTAAGATTCCCTGCTTTAAACAAAAGAAAGTTTACACTTTCAAAGCTACATGTTTAAGATACAGTAACTCAAAGCTGAAAAGGAGCTTGCTCTTCTTTTTTAAACATGTATTTGTTGAAGTCTGCATTTTCTTTCTTTATGAGTTATTTTGTTTTGAACTTCAAAAGGTTGTACAATTTAATGTGCCCATCTAAGTATCCAGTGAGGAACTCTCTTTTAAAAGGATTTAAGATTTTTCTTAAATTAGTGACTGAAGGCAAAATAATTTTTCTAGAAGGTTCTCCTGGCTTATTCATCCAGAAATCTAAGCTTTTGGGATGAAAAATAATGTTTAATGTAATAGAATTTAGATTATCTGCAGGAACCCTCTAATATTAAATACTTCATTGATAAACACTCAATATAAATTAGAACAATTTTCACTTTTTTGTCTACATCATAGAAGAGGGAAGTAGAGTTAAGACAATTTTAAATTGATCATATATGGCTGGGCAATAAAATTTCATGAAATCCATGAATATATAACTTTTTTAAAGATTACTTTCTGCTTTATTCTCATTTCTTTTTTATTTTTTTTATTTTTATTTTTTTATTTTTTTGGTTGTGGGGCCTGAACTCTGGGCCTGGGCACTGTCCCTCAGCTCTTCAGCTCAAGGCTAACACTCTACCATTTGGGCCCCGTGCCACTTCCGGCTTTTCTATTTTTGCTTATGTGGTGCTGAGGAATCGAACCCAGGGCCTCAGGCATGCAAGGCAAGCGCTCTACCACTGAGCCACCTTCCCAGCCCTATTCTCATTTCTTTGTTCTTGATACACCCACAGTGTTATTGAGGACGATGAGAAGGGACTATTTTGCCATATTCCAAGTGGTTTTATTTTTTCTATTAGTTTTTATTTATTTTATTTGAGTTAGGATCTCTCTATATTGCCCAGGCTAATCTCAAACTCCTAGCCTCAAGCAACCCTGCTTTAGCCTACTGAATACCTGAGACTGGTATATACTATCACATGCAACTTACAGTTATTTCTTAAATAATCAACCTTCAGGTGACAAAACAAGGTCTCACCCATCCAGGACACACTGACCTCTTACAAAAGAAGAGGGGTGTTCTGATGGAGATATCAGTGAATTGTGTTTATTAATTCATCCTTGCTTTTCAGTAGCATGGATGGATTTGCACTGTGTAGAAGGCTTCATGGAGGATGTGTGTATTTTGCTTTTCCTTAGGTTCTGGCTATTTGTGTCAGCCTTCTGGGATCTCTGGGCTAGTTTAGATCTCTGAGTTGTAGAATGCACAGAGGCTGAGTATCAAAGGTAGAGTGTCAGAGTGGTTGGGTGCACGGTCTGGGAATAATGTCTTATCTTTCATCAGTCCAGTTAGTGGGATAACACGAGAAGTAAGAAAGAGTTAGAACAATTGCTACTCCATAGAGCAAGACATTTACCACTCAAGCATCTCAGTGTTCTGCCTCTGTCTAACTGGAGATAAGAATCTCATGGTCTTTACTCCCCAGGCTGGTTTTGAACTGTGATCCTCAGATTTTAGTCTCCTGAGTATTATAGGTGTGTGCCATTGGCACATGGCTAAATGATATCATGGAATAGCATCGTTCAGCTAGTGGTATAGTTTGGTGGTAAAATGGTCATGTAGCTTGTATGTGTGAGGCCCTTGGTTTGATCCTCAGCAACAAAACAAAACATTTGATCACACACAACGAAATGTCTCTCAAGTCTCTTACTATAAGTGTGTAGCTGTTACTTATGTTTCCAAAATTGTAATCAATAGGTTTGTCAGAACTATCATTTCCTTCTGTAGTTCATGCTCATTCCTCTCTTCTTTCATGGTCTTGCTTTGTTGTTCTGTTCTCTGAGAGTTGTTGAGGTTTCTCATAGCATGAAGAGTACCTACTCACCCATCCCTCCCGCCAAACAAATATCCCCTATGTCTGGTCCCACCTTTTATCCTGCTATATCATGACTGGCACTGGGCATATGAGTTTACTCATGTTATAGCTGGTGACTCCACTTGCTCCCTACACAAAGCCCACTGGCCACAGCCACACTTGAATTCTCCCACCCAGACTGTTCTGCTCTTTCCTTGACTCTCCTACCACCCCAGATAAGCCTTGTGACATTGTCACATGACTTGCTGTCATGGCTGGCACTAGTCAAAGCCTGCTGAGTGTCAACCGTAAAACAGCACGCTGTGTCTCTCCAGCCTGTACTCAGCCTTTACTTCCCAGAATCTCATTCTCACTGGCATCCTCCATGGTAGTACTGCATGGTCTGGCTTTCCCAAACACACACACACACACTTTCAAACTGCCCTTACATTGACTATCTCGCATGAAAACTTTACAATAACTCAAAACCATAAAGGGTTTACATGTCAACGTAAACCCCCAATTGTAGATCTTATTAGTATTCCACCTTGCTCAGAAGAGAAACTGGAGATGAGAAAGGTTGAAATGACTTGCTCTTTTTCCCACACAAAGGTTTAAAAATAGAACCAGGACTGAATACCTAGAGTTTATGAATCCACATCCTTTTGTATTTCTCTACCACATGCTTCTAAATTTCACTCAGCTAACACTGGCTCCTGGCAGACTCCTCCCTGGAGAAAGTGCCTGTCCAAAAGCCAAGTCAGGCTTTTGTCAGGCTCTGTGACAGGCAGTATGAAGCTGATCTAACATGCTAAACTACTTATTATTACTATTCATATAATAATTTTGCACTGGTACTGGGGCTTGAATTAAGAGCCTCACACTCTTGCTTGGCTTTTTGCTGAAGGCTGCTATTCTACTTCTTGAGATATATCTCCACTCCAGGCAATTTTTTGTGGGCAAATGCCCAAGCTGGTTTCGAATCACAATCCTCAGATTTCAGTCCCCTGAGTAATTAGGATTATAGGCATGAGCCACCATTGCCAGACATGCCAGTCCTTTAGATTGGCTCTATGGAAGCACTGTCAGGTCTCTTGTCTACAACTATTATTTTTTTTTGGTTGGTCATGGGGTTTGAACTCTGGGCCTGGATGACAGCTGTCCCTGAGCTCTTGAGCTCAAAGAGAGTGCTCTACCACTTGAGCCACAGCACCACTTCCAGTTTTATGGTGGTTAATTGGAGATAAGAGTCTCACGGATTTTCCTGCCTGGGCTGGCTTTGAACTATTATCCTCAGATCTCAGCCTCCTGAGTAGGTAGGATTACAAGTGTGAGCCACTGGTACCTAGCTCTGTCTACAACTATTTAGCTTATTATTTCCCCAGGAAGTTAGTCCATTCCAATGAGCAGGAGTGACTATCACAGGAGGTAGGAGGTAGAGGAAAAAAATGAGTTGGGAGAGATCAGAAAATGAGAGGAAAAAAAACATAGACTACAAGAGAAATGACTAGGAGGAGAAGAGGTATGTGGTCCAGGGAGGAAAAGGGAGCTCCAACTGTTCATTAGGGGCTTCCTGCAGAATCAGCTTCCACCAGCAAATGGCTCTCAGGCCTGAATGTCCTCTAGCATACATTACCAGCATGATTTTCTTTCAATAACAGAAGAGACAGTTGTGAATGATGTTCCAGGAATGTCTGGCCAATGCACAGTGGAGACATTGTTCATTTCTGCAGCATGGTTATTTCTGAGATAATGCCAAATTCAACTTTGGGCTATTGGTAGAGAAATAGAAAGTTGCCTGTATTGTGCACATAGGGATTTGGCTGGGGAGAGGGAACTTGAGAAGAATGGATGCCAGCGAATCACTCTTCTGTGTCTGTTCCTCCTTCCTCCTTGCTCTATTCCGTTTGCTTTTTAGTTTTGCATCCAGGTCTTGGCTCATCCCCTAGGCTGATACGGAAACTCACTATGCAGCTCAGGCTGGCATCCCATTGGAGATTCTCCTACCTCTGCCTCCTGTGTGCTGGGATTATAGATGTGCACCACCAGGCCCAGTCTGCCCTTTAGTTTCAAAATTGGCATGTAGTGATTTGGCCCAACAAATAGAATAGATTAAATATAAAAGGCCAAAATCTCTAGTTTCAAATATAAAACCTAGCTATGTTCATTTGACCTTTCATTCCATTTGAATCTCTGATATCCAGGACATTGCTGTGTCTGTGTCTGTTCTAAGGTGGGAAATTGGATTACCACGCCATTATCTCCCAGCCCATTTCCAAAGCAGAGAAACGAAGGCCTTGTGTGCTCATGGTGAGCATTCCTATTCCTATTCCCATGGCCAACAACAGCTGAGCCCAGGAGGAAGATCACAGCCCATTCTTATACTGATAGAGATGCTCAGTAGAGAAAGGGAAAACAAGGTCTACTTTTGTTTTATATTTTAAAAAAAACCTAAAAATCATTTTACTTCAATAGTAAGAAGGTACCATGACGTAATTATAACAAGGGCTCAACTCTTCCTCCTCTTCTGTTAGAGTAAATACCATTGGGAAATGCATGAAGTGCCTGAGAAAGTGTACTGGGTAGGTAGAGATGAAGGGGTTCAAGCTGGGAGCGTGCAGCCAGTTTGGGGACATGATGCTCTCTTTCCTTTCAGCATTCTTTTCCACGATCACTTTCCACTCCGAATTCTTCACAGCACAGAAAGTACAAATGACTCCATAGGCAACTGGGGGAAAAATCTCTGTAATCTAGGCTGGCACTTTACCACTTGAGCCACACCACCACTTCCAACTTTTTTTTGGGGGGGTGGCTGGTTAATTACAGATAAGAATTGCTCACACTTATCTGCCTGGGCTACCTTTCATATCTTCAGATCTCAGCCTCTTAAGTAGCAAGGATTATAGGCATGAGCCACTAGTTTCCTTTCTTCTTCTTTTTCTCCCCCTTCACTTTTTTAAGTGTAATTTTATTGTTATTAGTTAGGTGTTGTATAGAGGGGTTACCTTTTCATAAGTCAAGTGAAGTGTACATTTTTTTTTGGACAATGTCACTCCTTCCTTCGTTTTCCCCCAGTTTCCCCCTCCCATTCCTGCCCACAAGTTGCATAGTTCATTTTCCACAGAGTCCTATCTTTTCTTGATCTGGAAAGTGAGGGAAAAGCTTATATCTAAAAGAGGGAAACAGAGTGGTGTAGTATGAAGAGAAACTGATACAAAGATATCCCTGTAAGATACCCTGGCTAATGGACAACTTCATGATCTCTCTCAGCTCCTGAAATACCCACTATTGACCAGGCATATTCAAAACTCAGCAACAGTATCACTGTAGAATGGGCCACAGTGCCAGGGGCTACCAGTTACCTGCTCACAGCTGAAGATGGAGACACAGTCATTGAGACCATGGTGGCCAATTCCCCAGGCACTGTGACAGGCCTGAAGGCTGCCACCTTGTATCAAATCACCATCAGATCCATCAGTGCGGCTGGAAGAAGTCAGGCATCACGTCCGAAGCAGGCAAAGACAGGTAGGTAGCTGAATGCTCCTCAGAAGTTCAACATTTTCCATGACCTGGATCAGTGACAATCTAAACATAAACATACAGTGTAGTTTGATGACACTTGATGACTACAATTTAGGATTTAGAGGTGAAAGCCAGCTGGGAGATTGTGGCTCACAAACCTGTAATCCTAGCTACTCAGGTAGCTGAGATCTGAGGATTATAGTTCAAAGTCAGCCCAAGCAGGAAAGGCCTTACGACTCTTATTTGTAAGTAACCACCTAAAAACCAGAAGTGGAGTTGTGACTCCAAGTGGTAGAGTGCTAGCCTTGGGCAACAGCAACAACAAAAACAAAGAAGCTCAGGATAGTGCCCAGGCCCTGATTTCAAGCCCCATGACCAAAAACAGTGAAAGCCACCAATTATGGTTCATTTGGTGTCTTTTTCTTTTTCTAAGCAACTCAGCTTTCTGTGATAGGGGTAGCATTTATATGCCAGATGCTTTCTGCTTTGGAAATTAAGGCCTATTTCTGGGCATCTTTAAAAGCATTCTTGCTTTTAAATGCCTGAAAGAGAGATTTCCATTTTTTAATGCTGGCCAAACAAGCAAAACATGGAAATGATTTTTGCTGAATATACCAAAGACACATGGCATGTATGTTAACAAATAAAAACATTTGGTTAAAGCATTCCTAAGTATATTTCTGAAGGAATAAGTGCAGGGCTGGGTGTATAGCTTGCAGTAGTACACTTGTCTAGTATGTACAAGGGCCTAGATTCACTCCTCCATACTACAAAAAAATGTTATGTGCATATTAAAATAGTATAAACTGTCATTTACCCCACTTCTGGTTTTCTGGTAGTTTATTGGAGATAAGATTTCATGGACTTTCCTGCCCAGGCTGGCTTTGAGCCACGATCCTCAGATCTCAGCCTCCTAAGTAGCTAGGATTACAGGTGTAAGCCACCTGTGCCTGGTTATAGGGATATTTTAATCCAACTGTTGACTAACTTCTGGTTGAAAGTACTGTCTCATATTTATAGTTTTTCAATATCTTTGAAACATTATGGTTTATACAAACTTAGACTATTTTTAACTAACTTTCTTCCTTCCTTTCTTCCTTCCTTCCTTCCTTCTTTCCTTCCTTGCTTCCTTGCTTGCTTGCTTCCTTCCTTCCTTCCTTCCTTCCTTTCTTTTTTCTCAAAGCAAATAGTTGTTTTTATCACATGGATAATCAACCTCTGTTTACTCACTCCTCAGTAATTTGAATTATCCTCCACTGGATTTCTATAACATAGACATGACCTGGTATTGTTTGTCTTTCTAGTGTTGGCAGCACCAGTTCTAGAAGTAAGCTCTCCAGGTCCAGATTCCATCCTTGTGCAGTGGGAAGCTGTATATATGGCCATTGGGTTCTCTGTTTCCATTATGCAAGCCAATGGTTTGGGTAGGATTTGGAAAGAGAATACTACAAACACCTCCTTGACCTTCAGCAGCTTAGATGCGGGGACTCTCTACACGATAAAAGCTTATGCCTGGAATGCCAATGGAATCCCTGGGGATGACTCCACCTGCAACCAGAGAACAAGTAAGCACTCTGGTTAATGACAGGGGCCACGCACAACAGCTCCCTGGAGCAATGTTCAATGAGAAGTAGAGAGCAGCTGGCAGTTTAAATTCATTACAAAGTTACTTATAGTGCTATCTGCCTCAGCAGACACTTGCTACACGGGGAAAAGAAAGGGCTAGGGGAACCAAGCACTTGGTGGCCCACACCTGTAATCATAGCTACTCAGGAGGCTGAGATCTGAGGATTATGGTTTGAAGCCAGTCCAGTGAGACCAATCCGAGAGACTCTTATCCTCAACTAACCAATGAACTGTTGGAAGTGATGGTGTGGCTCAAGTGGTAGAGTGTCATCCTTGAGTGGAAAAAGCTAAAGGATAGCACTTAGTCCCTGAGTTCAAACACCGGTGCTAGTACAAGAAAAAGAAAAAAGAAAAGGAACTGTTGCAAGGAGTACACAGAATGGAGTACCTCTCCCTGTGATCCATCTCAATTGTAACACCCACTTTCCATGTCACACAGGACATGATTCTTCTAAGGTACACCAAGCACTCCTGTCCCTCCTGTTTTAATGTCCTCCCCCCACCCCATGTTCTCTTTTATTTCCTTTTGCGCCAGTACTAGGGCTTGAATTCAGAACCTGAGCTTGTCCCTTAGCTTTTCCCTTAGCTCTACTCTACCACTTGAACCACAACTCCACTTTTGGCTTTTGGGTGGTTCATTGGAGATAAAGAGTCTCATGGACTTTCCTGCTTGGACTGACTTTGAACTTCAATTCTCAGATCTCAGCTTCCTGAGTAGCTAGGATTTCAAATGTGAACCAACAGCACCCAGCCCCTTTTGATTTTTATTTATTTATTTATTTGTGTTTTACCAGACATCTCTTGTCCTGTCCTGGGTCCAGGTTATAATGAAAAGATCTGGACTAAACAGGGATTTACTTATTTAACAAACGTTTAGTGAGTGTGTGCCACCTTGGAACTAGCATTGCTCCAGAGACACAGCAGCAAACCTGACAGATATACTGCTACCTAGTGCTTTATATTGTCCTAGGAGTCCATGTGTTACATGAGGCCAACGTGGAGCTTGCCACCACCTCTTCCGACTCGTGACAAGCTGGACTGTAGTGTGTTTTCTTACCCCCTCCGTGCTAGGAAAGCCATAAGGAGGATTCCTACAGCATGATGACTGGAAGGCCAAATTGAGCTGCTGCAGCAAACCAAAGAATAAGAGAGAGCAAGAGAGGAAGGAGAAAGGCAGAGACAGGCAGCACGAGGTGTGGTTCTTTTCCTTAGTAAGCAGTCCACAAGTAATATGACAAATAAATGACAGGCTTTCCCCAAACAAGCTCAACCAGCTTAGCTGTTTTGCTACTTGGGAAAGGATCTAGGAAAGGATCAGAAGAAACCAAAAGTATTTTCTTCAACTTGAGTTTTAGAAAGGAATGAAAGACTCCTTGTCTACAGGCCAAAGCAGAAATGTAGGGAGAAGGGACGGGCTTTGTACAGGAAGAGACCATAGCAAGTAGCCCCCAGGTGATCGAAGAAGGAACTGGTGAGTTGGCGCATAGTGACAAATCAGACTTCCTGGACCTTTACTTACCTTCCTTCCTTCCCTCCTTGTTTATTTCCTTCCTTACTTCTTTCCTTCCTTTCTTCCCTCCCTTCCTCCTTCCCTCTCTCCCTTCCTTCATTCCTTCCTTCCTTTCTTCCTGTCTCCATTCCTTTGTTTCTTCCTCCTTCCTTTCTCCATCCGTCTTTCTTCCTCCCTCTTTTTCTTTCTCCTTCCTTCCTTTTTCCTTCCCTCCCTTCCCCTCTCCTTCCTTCTACTCCCCTCTCCTCTCTTCTTTCTTTCCCCACTCCTTCCTTTCTTCTGCTCTGCTCTGATGCTCTCCTCTTTTTCCTTTCCTCTCTCTGATCCCTTCTCGCCCCCTCTCTATTTCCCTCTCCATTTATTGAGGCCCCACTATGTGCTGAGAGAGCTTAGTTGATGGAATACAACATTAAGCATGATTCCTACTCTCAAATAACTGATTATGTCTAAAGGTGCATTAATCAGCTGTCACGGTGCTGTGTAATGAAGTGTTCCAGTGGAAGGTGTGCAGTGGCACAAAAGGGAGCATTTCCATCAAGCTGGGAATTGAGAGAGCCATTTGGCTTCTTGAGGCTTTCCCTCTCATTTGTTTCCTCATGTTTTAAAATGTTTTTAGAGAGTTTGTACCTTTGTATTCGATTTTATACCAGCTATACTAAGTACCCCAGATTGGGTGGCTTATATAATGATAGTATATATTGTTTCACATCAATGGAAGCTGAGTCTGCAACTAAGGTGTTGGCAGGGTTGGTTCCTTCTGAGGGCTGTTGGGAAGGATCTGTGCAGGCCTTTCTCCTTGACCTGTGGGTAGCCGTCTTTATGTTCATATGGTATGTGTGCGTCCATTTAAAAATACTTCTGTATTTATTTATTTGGTGTTGATTCTGGGGCTTGAACTCAGGGCCTGGATGCTGTTTCTATGTTCTTTTACTCAAGGCTAGCACAGTACCTCTTGAGCCACAGGTCCATTTGTGGCTTTTTGGTGGTTAATTAGAGATAAGAGTCTCATGGACCTTCAGGAACCACAATCCTCAGATCTCAGCCTCCTGAGTACCTAGGATTACAGGCCTGAGCCACTAGCACTGAGACATTTTCTTCTTTTTTTATAAGGACATGAGTCATGTTGAATTAGGGCCTACCTTAATGACCTCATATGAATTAATTATACCTAGTATGACACTATTTCCAAATAAGATCATATTCTGACAGTACAAAGGTTAGAATTTCAGCATACAAATTTTAGGAGAGCCCTATTCAACCTGTATTGTCTCTCCTCCCTTCCCCCCCCCCACAATTGTACCTGTGTTTCCTAGTTCTCAATGTAAAGCTGCTTGTCTGAAAACTTGGTAGGCTGTTCCCTTCAGTCTTGGACCCAGCATTTCTCCAACACAGGCCTGTCTCAATGGAAGCCCACCATGCAATGAGGAAGAGGCCTGTGGAGATGGTCATAAGGACAACACAGCATGTGTCTGACTTGCCAAGAATGAGTTGGATTCCTTCTCTGTATCCCAAAGTGTGCAGAGGACTCTGTCCAGCGCATTCTCTCTCAAAGTAGTCTATTCTCCTTTGAAATCTTTATTATAATGCAGACTCAAAGGGGAACTGAGGCCAGCTTTTTCCTCTGCAACCCAGGAGGACATTTCAAACTTTAGATTTCTGTTTGGTTTTATGGGTTGGGTTGTGTGAGAGTCTCACTTTTATTATGTACCCCCAGCTAACTTGAAACTTATGATCTTCTTGCCTTAGCTTCTGGATGCTGGGATTACAGACATGTGCCTTCATACTTAATTTTCCTCAAGTTTTTAAAATGCATTAACTCTAGTGATAGGAAGTTGGGTTTCCAATTCGGGTTTCACTCAAGGCTGGAGCCACAGCCTCTGGAGCCACAGCCCCATTTCTGGCTTTTTGGTACTTCTTTGGAGTTAAGAGTCTCACGGACTCAATTGCCTAGGCTAAATTTCAAACCTTGATCCTCAAATCTCAGCCTCCTGAGTAGCTAGGATTACAGGCATGAGCCACTAGCGCCCAACCATATCCAACTCTCGGGGTACCATATTCTCTGGATTTTCAGCATTACTAAGCTGAATCTCACTTGGGTTCTTGAATCTATCACAAAATCTTGATTATTTCTCAAACACACAGGTCCTCGTGCTCCTGTCAACATCCAAGTGTCTTTTGACAGTGGGGCTTTGAAGGCGTCTGTTTCATGGACCCCGACAGAAGGGGCTTTCAATTATACTGTGAAGGCACTGAGTGACTCTTCTGAGCAGAGCTGTAGCACAACTTTAAGCTCCTGCAGCATCTCTTCCCTGCAGTGTGGCACTGAATACCTGATTTCCGTGTTAGCAAGTAACGATGCGGGATCCAGCGAGTCCTCTTCGGCGGTGACCTTGAAGACTGGTATGTAAATGAATGAAAACCCTTCTAGTCTGGCAAGGCACCAGGGGCCACCCTGAGGGAGACAGAAGTCTCAGGCAATATTCCAAAATATTCTGAAAGCCATAAAAACCAAAGCCTTTTCTCAATAAAAGCATTGAATGAGACATCCTTGTAGGTTTGAATATTGATTTGGAAAGTAGGTATTATACATTGCAAAATGCTCCTTTGGATATTCAGAGGCTGGTTTCTATTCTAGATCTTTTGTTGTAAGGTGAATTCAGTAGCAAGATACAGAGAAGCCACATTTTGCTCCCATCGGGAGTCTTTATTAAAAAGCCAGCAACTGCATGGTGGACTCCTGTCTCAAAGACATTGAACCATGAAGGCTAGTGAGGAAAGAATAAAAAACAAAAATAATACCAACAAACCAATTCAGCTCCAATGGAGAGCTGAAATGGGACACCAGGGTGACCAGAGAAGAGCCAGGAGACTGGAGACAGGAGACAGGACATGAACACACAGAGATACTTGTTGCATGGCGTCATGGTGCCAGGGCCTAAATAGAGTCAGGTCAAGGGGCAGGGTCACAGGAAACTCAAGTCCTAGCACTGGACTGACAGTAACTTGTCATCCAAGTCCCCACCCCCGCTTCCGGGGATTCAGGCAGGTCCATCACCTGGGAGGTGGGGGCTTCACCTTCCCCGACCATGAAGACAAGATGCCAGACTCTACCATCCACCATGTGGCCAAGATGGCGCTGGCCAGACGGATCTCCCTACTTCATTTTCATACATTTCTCTTCTCTCAAATTTCTATTTATTTATATATTTATTTATGACAAGTGTCCCCAGTAGCTGCAACATTCTTTTTTTTTTTTGTGAACATACTGTACAGAAGGGTTACAATTACATGGGCAGGATAATGAGTACATTTCTTACCAAGCATTGCAGCCTCCTCCTTTGTTTACCCTTCACATCCCTTCCCAGCCTCCCCCCTCCTCCTCACACCCAATCCTTCCCCCCACACACACCGACGTTGTAAAACTCATTTTGGACATGACAACTTGTACTTCTCATTGTTGCAACAGGTCCACCTGTATCCTTAAACGACTTGTTTTTCCCCATTTCCTCCACAAGTTATACTGACATCAAATATAGTGAAAGCAGGGGTTATACTGTGGGGGAGGGACATACAAAGCAACAAAGAAATAATCTTATAAATGGGTTAGAAACACATGCATGAAAGCTGCAACATTCTTGACATGGCTTTCTTTCTTTTTGATTGGGGTATGGCGGTGGCTGATGGGAGATGACAACAGAGTCTCATTATGTAAGTCCAGGCTGGCCTGGAATCCATAATATTCCAACCTCAGCCTTCCAAGTATAATACATTATGCTCACCTTTGGTCCTCAGATCCACCCAGACCTGAGCTCCTCCCAGCTCTGGAGTTCCCCCCATACAGCTGGCCCCTCCCTCTCTCTGCCCAGACCCACCTGAACTCCCATCTACCTAACTTCCTACCCCCCAAACCCTGCTGCTACCTATAGTGGAGGCTGCCATGTGCTTTCTCCGGGGCAAATATGGCTCCTCTAATAAACCTTGTAATAATCTTCCTCCTGTGCCTGCCTGCCTCTGCGTGGTCCCCTGGCAAGGATGTGATGATCCTTTCATGGATCCTTTCAGAATCCAGGGCTTCACATTGTTGCTTGGCTTCTTTTTCATCAGTGCTCTACCTTCTGAGCCAACTTCTGTTTTTGTTTTGTTTTTGCTGGTTAATTGGAAATAAGAGTCTCTCAGATTTGTGTGTTCAGGCTGGCGTTAAACCGTGATCCTCAGATCTCAGCCTCCTGCTTACCTAGCTACTTTTTTTTTAAAAAGATAAAGCCTGTTCTGTACATTTCTAGTTCTGAATATGTTTAGATAATTTCCTATTTTCATCCTAATAGGAGATGTAAAAGGCACACATATGTGGAAGTTTACCCCTTTATTAAGACACACTTACATGTTTTTGTAATTGTAACTAACGTTTAGTGGGGCATACTTGTATCTCAAACACATTATATTATTTACTTTATATGACAGAAAGTTTAGTGTGGAAGGTTCCATTATCTTCATTTTTAAGAGAAGAACATTGAAGATCAGAGAGACTGAATAATTATTTTTCCAAGGGCACACTGATAATGAACATTAGAGGTTTAAGTTCAAGTTCGCTGGACTTCAGTTCTCTATGCCAAAGAAAATGTAATAATCTCCACTTTATTCAACAGACAGAATTATGTCATTGTTAGTTAAAAAGGCATCTGAGCAGAGAAGAGATTTCTTATCAAGCCAATGAACTCTATTTTATTGGGGGAAAAACATAATGCATCTAATCTCAGACATGGTTTCTTAGAGTTATGTCAGTTACCACTTATAAACACAGTGGTTGGGAATCTCTTTTGACATCTCTAGTTTAATGTGGATGGGACATTAGGTATGGTCATAAGAAAAGGGTAATGAATGGTGAGAGAAGAGATAAGACACAGCTGTTATGAGTTACTCATTTAATGCAGGAGAGAACCATCCAATCTTCCATACACATCCAAAGGGTGAATGATACTGAAGTACATTATCTATGCATATAGATGGCACAAGGCTCCCATTGAAAGCTGTTGAACAATGGAGAAACAGGGAGACAGAGCAATAGAAGAGGTTAATCCTGTCAATGTACAACATATACATACTGTGGTGAAATTCCTTTGCTCAATTAATATTCACTAACATACAAGAGCACTTGAGCAGCTTTTCATAAAAATCTCAATACTCAGACTTAAGGCCACTTAAGTTGGCATTCCTGGGACTAGATTCTACATAAGAATTGATTTTAAGGGGCTGGGAAGGTAGCTCAGTGGTAGAGTGCTTGCCTTGCATGCATGAGACCCTGGGTTTGATGCCTCAGCACCACATAAGCAAAAAAAGCTGGAAGTGGTGCTGTGGCTCAAGGGGTAGAGCACTAGCCTTGAGCTGAAGAGCTGAGGGACAGTGTCCAGGCCCAGAGTTCAGGCCCCACAGCCAAAAAAAAAAAATCGATTTTAAAAGCTCTTCAGCAGATACTAATCCACAGTCAAGGCTAAGTGTTGCTGAAATTGTCTGTGATGTTTTTACTTCCTGCCCTTCCCAGTCTAGAAAGGACCACTGTAATTTTTATATAACAATATCAGTCATGATCATGGGAACAAATGTGATTTATAGTAAAGGAATTATGTTTGGGAAGTACTATGGTTTCCTGGGGCCCAAAAAATATGTGATATATTTTAGGAAGAATCTGTTTAGAGATCATGAATAAAATTTTGAAAGCAAGGGGTTTGAATGAATAGTTTTCATTGGAAATTGTTCCTTCAAAGACTTCATGCAATGTTGATCTTGGATAAATAAGATATTGCCTTACAAGATGCTGGTGGCTTATTTAAAAATCCTAGCTAGGAGGCTGAGATGTGGGGATGAAAGTTAGAAGCCAACCTGGACAGACAAATCCTAGAGACTCTGTTCTCCAATTAATCAGCAAAAAGCTGGAAGCAGAGATGAGGCTCAACTGGTAGAGCACCAGCCTTGAGCAGAAAAAGCCAAGCGAGAGCACTGAGTTCAAGCTCCAGTACTGGTAAACACACACACACGCACACACACACACACACACACACACACACACACACACAGATGTTGGAAATAAGCAACTTCAATCAAAACAATTCAATCAAAACAATCCAGGCCTATTTCATACATAATCAAGCATCTATTATAAAAGATAAAACTTAGGACATCTGAGAATGCCTATTTAGTTTGTACCAAATTGTGCTACTATTTGATTTGTTCAATAATACCCAGCATCTTAACTCCCAGCTTGATGTCATGGGCATGAAATTGTGTTGTCATTTGGCACATGGGAGGCTGCAGCTAGGAGAATGTCCCAGGTTTTCTGATTTGCCCAGAAAGACCCTTTCTAACTCTGCAATCCTGGGCAACTCATCCAACTTCTATGAGCCATATTTTCCTCAACTGTAAAAGGATTCCATTATTGGAAGAGTTACAGTAAATATTAATGAAATGCACAATGGCTGATGGTTATATTTTAAATCCAAAATAGACAAAGAAAAAAATACCAGCCAGGTGTCCGTGGCTCACGCCTGTAATCCTAGCTGCTCAGGAGGCTGAGATCTGAGAATCACAGTTCAAAGACAGCCTGGGCAAGAAAGTCCGTGAGACTCTTATCTCCAATTAAGCACCAGAAAACTGGAAGTGGTGCTGAGGCTCAAGTGGTAGAGCGCTAGCCTTGAGCTGAAGAGCTGAGGGACAGTGCCCAGGCCCAGAGTTAAGACCCATGACTGACAAAAAAAAAAGAAAGAAAAAGAAAAAAAATTACCAAATAGCTAACTCAAAGATATATACCATATCACTCAGGCTACACAAGCTTAATAAGAATGAGGCCAACTGTTTCAACGAATACTTGAACAATGCAAATCCTCATATCTTAACTATCAAAAGCTAGGTACTGGGCTGGGAAGGTGGCTCAGTGGTAGAGTACTTGCCTCACATGCATGAGACCCTGGGTTTGATTCCTCAGCACCACAAAAGCGGAAAAGGCTGGAAGTGGCGCTGTGATTCAAGTGGTAGAGCACTAGCCTTGAGCTGAAGAGCTGAGGGACAGTGCCCAGGCCCAGAGGTGAGGCCCCACAACTGACCAAAAAACAAAAAAAAGCTAGGTACTGGTGTCTCATACCTATAATCATAGCAAATCAGAAGGCTGAGATTTGAGAATAACTTTTGAAGCCAGCCCAAGTAGACATATCTGTGAGACTCAACTCATATTTGTAATTAACCAGCAAAAAGTCAGAACGGGGTATGGCTCAAGTGGTACAGTGTCAGCCTTGAGCAAAAAAGCCAAAAAGAGCACTAAGCACTGAGTTTAAGCCCCAATACAATACCAGTAAACACACACACACACACACATACTCTGATGGATATTATTTCAAATATTATTTCATAGAAAATACTATTTCATAAAATTCTAGGGGCTGGGAATGTGGCTTAGTGGTGGAGTGCTTGCCTAGCATGCATGAAACCCTGGGTTTAATTCCTTGGTACCATATGAACAGAAAAAGCTGGAAGTAGCATTGTGGTTCAAATGGTAGAGTACTAGCCTTGACCAAAAGAAGCTCAGGGACAGTGCCAGGCCCTGAGTTCAAGCCTCTAGACTGGCAGAATGAGAGAGAGAGAAAGAGAGAAAGAGAGAGAGTTCTATTAGTAAGGGTTTGGCACCCCTAGTGTACATTGTGGTTCTACAAAAAAAAGAATTCTAATGTTTCTGAAATATAGTTTTGCCTGTTAGGCACCAAATTCAAACTTAAGAATTGCTGACTTGGTTGTGTTGAAATTATGCAAAGAAAATCTGCAGTAGTCTCACCGGTACTTATGATCGCTCATTTCCTAGTGGCTTGTGCACCTGCAAGAGTGACCATCCAAGAAGAAGCCCCTGGCCACCTGTCTGTGGCTTGGTCCAATGTAGATCTGGGTGATTACTATGTGGCTTTTGTGAAGAGTGATGATGGCTTGGAAGTCCACTGCAATACGTCCCTCACACAGTGCAACTTCTTATCCGAGTGTGGCTTTACGTACTTTATTAGTGTCTTTGCCTATAACAAGGCAGGGCAGAGTCCTTTGGGTGATGTATTCAATTATACCACAGGTAAGTCACATTTGAAGCTTGTGAATATTGTTCTCAGCAGCGGAATAAGTAACCTATTATACTCATTGACTTAACCAATTGGATAGAAGTCGTCCTAGGGCCAAGAACAAAAAATGCCTCTCTCCTGTCATATTCTTTGTAGAGAGGGAAAGTTTGGTTTCAGGAACTCAACATAATAAGAATGTATGATTGAGGAGTAAAAAGGGAAGAAATAAATTCTCACAACTCAGGAGACAGATCTGTGGATCATGATTTGAAGTCAGCCTAAGAAAGAATGTCTACGAGACGCTTACCTCCACTAAACTACCAAGAAAACTGGAAGGCACAGTATTCAGGCCCTGAGTTCAAGTCCCAGGACCAGTATAAGAGAAAGAGGGAAGTGTGGAGGGAGGGAGAGAAGGAGAGAGGAAAGGAAAAATGTTGTTCAACCCTGCTTTGAAATTTAAACCCTCCACAAAGATGTGCTCAGTATTCAGGCCTGTGCTAGAGCCCAACAAAGATGCAGCCCTTCCATATCAGGAGTTTACTGTTTCCCTGAGACCAGAGAGACACAGCGATGGCTAAGATGCTCTATGATTTGGAGAGGTTAGGAGCAGGACACTTGGGTTTAAGTCCTAACTTCCTATCTTGACCACTAACTCATTCATACAATGGAAATAATGGTGGCTACCATGCTGCTTCCATTGCCAAATGGAACAACTAATAACCACAGGACAAGTATGAAAAGATCTTTGTGGTAAAACAGAATGCTAATATTTTCATGAGCATCATTATTACCATCAGTATCCTCTCCATTAAGCTTGGGTCTTACACTAAGCAAGAGCTTATGTCATAATATATCTTATCTATCCCTTTTTCCTCTAATCAGAGTGACCAATATAAGAGAGATGCTCTATTTTCACTTTTTTTTGTGCTGGTATTAGGACTTGATCTCAGGGCCTACATGCTGTCCCTTAGTCTTTTTGCTCAAGGCTGGCACTCTACCACTTGAGCTATGCCTCCACTTCTAGCTTTTTTTGCTGTTTAATTGGAGATAAGAGTCACAGAGAGTTTTCTGCCTAGGCTGGCTTCAAATCCAGATCCTCAGATCTCTGAGTAGGTAGGTTTACAAATAGGAACCACTGGTGTCCAGGTCCATTTATTTGTGTGTGTGTGTGTGTGTGTGTGTGTGTGTTTGTGTGTGTGTGGCTTGCACTCTCACTTGTCTTCTTTTTTTTTTTTTTTGGTCGGTCGTGGGGCTTGAACTCTGGGCCTGGGCGCTGTCCCTGAGCTCTTCAGCTCAAGGTGAGCACTCTACCTCTTGAGCCACAGCGCCACTTTCAGTTTTCGAGTGGCTTATTGGAGATAAGAGTCTCACGGACTTTCCTGCCTGGGCTGGCTTTGAACCACGATCCTCAGATCTCAGCCTCCTGAGTAGTTAGAATTACAGACATGAGCCACCAGTGCCCAGCTTTTCCTTTTCCAGCTCAAGGCTGGAACTCTATTCCTTGAGCCATGCTCCAACTTCAGGCTTTTTGCTTGTTAACTGGAGATAAGTATCTTATATACTTTTCTTTTTAAACTGAATTTGAACCTCGAACCTTAGATCTCAGCCTCCCAAGGAGCTAGGTAATTATAGGATGATAGTAAATTTTATCACTATGAGGGATCCAAGTAATGGGTGCTTTTGGAATTTGCAGTAAGAAGCTATTTATCAAGTGGCTCAAGTGTGCCTTGCAGAGGGAGTAGCTAGCTCTAGTAGTTCAAATGTAAATGGAATATAAGTGGGCAAGAACTGATCTTAGAGGAACTCCAAGGTAAATTAGATGTTTATTAGTGAGCTCCTTTCAGGTTTCTTCTAAGATCAACTAGGACAATTATGTTTTCCCCAAGCCCAGCTTTGTCTAAAGAGACTGAAAGGATTTGAGGAGTTAGATTCAATATGATTGTGTGAGGCGGAAGCACAGAAGAGGAGCAGGCTTTCTAGAAGAGAGTTCCGTCATCTTCAAAGATACAGAAGTGAGAGCATGTGTGGGGTGGGGAATTGAGAAGCCTGCTGGGGCTAGGAGGTGGGGAGGGACAACTGAACATGACAGCTTGGGATGACCCCGGATGTCAAACAGGGTTTATCTTTTGTGCAGTGGGACTTAGGCCAATCTAACCAGAGCTGTAGGTTTCTACAGTAGTGCAGGAGGCCAGTGGTCACGAGGAGGCCAGCACCCGATGACATTGCTCCTGTAACTGCCCTTTGTTTCCTCTTTCAGCTCCCTGTTGCGCTAGTGACATTAACCCTGTGTTAGTGTCCAGTGACAGAGTAGAGATGGTCTGGTCTCCAGTCCGAGGTGCGGAACTCTATGAAACCAAGGCCAGAGCTGGGTCCCGCGTGGTGGAATGCAATGACACCGCCCCTGCCTGCACGCTCTCGGCTCTGCAGTGTGACACCAAGTATGACGTCACGGTGTATTCCTTCAGTGAGATCCGGGGCAGCAATATGTCCTGTGCACCCCAGTTGATTACCACAGGTGAGGTACAGCTAGTGTCTGAATGATTCGCTCCAGCTACGCATCTTAGCATGGACATTCAGTAACACCTAAAGGCGAAATCCCCTTACCCACTCTTGGTAGGGACCAGTTGAGTCTCTGCTGTATTGAGGAGAAGTAGAGGAGAAGGTGGAGGTGGAAAGTGAGAAGAAAGAAAGGGAAAAAAGAGACTAGGGAGAAGGAAATGTTTTACTGATGATTGCCTCAGCCATTCAATTCTCTCTCTCTCTATCTCTCTCTCTCTCTCCCTCTCCCTCTCTCCCTCTCCCTCTCTCCCTCTCTCCTTCTCTCCCTCTCTCCTTTATCTCTCTCCCTTTCCCAACCCGCTTTGTTCCAGTACTAGGGGCTTGAACTTAGGGCCTTGTTCTCTTACCTGATTTTTTTCACTCAAGACTGGCACTCTATGATTTGAGTCACAGTTCTACTTCCAGTTTTTTGGTGCTTAATTAAAACTAAGAGTCCTATAGACTTTCCTGTCCAGGCTGACTATGAATCATGATCCTCAGATCTCAGCCTCCTGAGCAGCTTAAATTACAAGCATAAGCCTCTGGCTCTAGGCTAGTCATTCAGTTCTTTCTGCCTGTGGGTGGGCGACTGTGCAGGTGTGTAAATAGTTGTTACTTTGCTTTTGGAGATCAAAATGCTTTTTAACATTTTCTAGTTGACCCAGCAGTACAAAAACCCAATCCACTATGTCAATGACATCAAGTTTCCCACACCACATCTCTATGAGTTTGTCCTATAGGTAATGGGTATGCTTGAAAGCTATGATCATTTTCAGTGGGCAGGGATCCGTTTTAGATCAAATCGTATATGTGATGTTTTTGACTCAAGCTGTTCTAATGAATAATGTACAGTGAATCTCTCAGCTCCTTGTAGTCCTGAAATAAAAAGTATTTCCACGGATGAATTCTCTACAATTAATGTGCAATGGCAAGCCACTAATGATGACGCCACATACACCGTGACTGCCCAGGGGGAGAAGGGGTTGTACCAGTGCCGCAGCGCAGGACAGGCCTGTGCCATGGGGGGTCTGCCCTGTGGCTCAGTGTTCTCTGTCACTGCTGTGGCTGAAACCCAGGCAGGAAAAAGCCCACCCAGCTACAGCGTCTCCCTGGAAACAGGTACATAATGACCACCAGCCCAAATATTGACTTTGGTGGGGGGCTAGGAATTGTTTGAAGGCATGAACTTTATTTAATCAACCTTATGTATAACAGAAATATGGTCAACTCAGAAGCCTTTCAAAGAACCCTGGTCTTAGAAAATAGAACTGTCAATCCTTTGGGGTGTGTGTGTGTGTGTGTGTGTGTGTGTGTGTGTGTGTGTGTGTGTGTGTGTGTGTGTGCTGGTACTGGGGCTTGAACTCAGGGCCTGGGTGCTGTCCTTTGGCCTATTCTGCTCAAGGATGATACTCTACCACTTTGGGGTGTGTGTGTGTGTGTGTGTGTGTGTGTGTGCTGGTACTGGGGCTTGAACTCAGGGCCTGGGTGCTGTCCTTTGGCCTATTCTGCTCAAAGATGATACTCTACCACTTCAGCCACATCTCCACTTACAGTTTTGTGGTGGTTATTAAAGATAAGAGTTTCATGGATTTCCTACTCAGATCAAGGTTTTAAACCTTGATCCTTAGATCTCATTTTCCTGAATAGATAGGATTACAGACATGAGCCACTGGCTAGCACATTCAACATTTAACTTATTCTGGAAAAATAGCTTATGTTGGCATCAAAGGAGCAATATATTGACTCATTTATTAGAATTTATAGCCTCCCATGATACAAACTGATCAAAACAGCTAAGAAGGAACCAAATGAGCTGATTCATTATGCATATCGTTGGCTTAGTGCTTTCAAATCTTTCTCTAAGACAAATATGCTTTCTGAGTTTAAGTTTCCTAGTGTCCAAGGGGGATAATAATCTTATAGGGTGTAGCAAGTACTGAATTAATGTCACAAGGCACTCAGCCCAGAGACTATTGCATAGGAATAGCTCCAGTGCTTCATAACACTGAATGTGAGTGAAATGAGGCAAAATGCTGGGCACTGCTGGCTCATGCCTGTAATCCTGGCTACTTAGGAGGCTGGGATCTGAGAATCACAGTTCAAAGCCAGCCTGGCAGACTCTTTTCTCTAATTAAACAACAAAAAGCTGAAAGTAGGGCTGTGGTTCAAGTGGTAAAGCATCAGCCTTGAACAAAAAAGCCAAACAAGAGGGTGAGGCCTTAAGTTCAAGACCCAGTACCAGCACACACAAAAAAGAACTGTAGCAAATTACTTAAAGCCTTTGGGCATTGTTTCTTATTATATACAATGATAGATGACATTTTGGATTGTGAAAGTTGAGCCACTTCCACCCAAAAGTAGCAAAACTTACTTTTTAAAGTATTTTATAATAGAGAAAATGCTAAATACACATGAAGGTTCTGTGTATCTATATCATATATAAGGATTCTCTGAAAATTGAGAAGGTGTAGTATCTTAAGTAGCTAAGAAACCAAGCTTTGAGCCGGGCATGGTGGTATATACCTGCAATCCTAGCACTCAGGAAACAGTAACTTTCAAGTTTGAGGCCAGCCTGAACTACAAGATCTTGTCTTAGAAAAGACTGAAAGTGGGGCTGGGAAGGTGGCTCAGTGGTAGAGTGCTTGCCTTGCATGCATGAGGCCCTGGGTTCGATTCCTCAGCACCACATATGCAAAAAGAAAAAAAGTCAGAAGTGGCGCTGTAGCTCAAGTGGTAGAGCCTAGCCTTGAGCTGAAGAGCTGAAGGACAGCGCCCAGGCCCAGAGTTCAGGCCCCACGATTGGACCCCCCCCAAAAAAAAGAATAAAGAAAAGACTGAAAGTGAGCATGCACGCACATGTGTGTGCATGTGTGATGCATTACAAAATGCATGGGAAAGGCAAAAAGAATTTCTTGCAAATGCTACACTGGGAGAAAAAGTGAATGCAACTATTGTTTTAGGATTATTTTCTTGCTCACTGCTGGCTCTCTACCACATTGGCTCTGCTTCCAGTCCAATGATTACTATTTTATTTGCTTGCCAGTTCTTGGACTCGAATCCTGGGCCTGGATGCTGTCCCTGAGCTTTTGAGCTCAAGGCTAGCATTCTACCACTGCTCTATTGCCAGCTTTTTGGGACTAATTGGAGATAAGAGTCTCACAGGCTTTCCTGCCTTGGCTGGCTTTGAACCATGATCCTCAGAGCCTAGCCTCCTGAGTAGCTAGAATTACAGGTGTGAGCCACCAGCACCTGGATCAATGATTTTTTTTCCTTAAAAAATGGTTTTTGGGGGAGGGAAAACTCATATTCCCACATCTTGTTAGTGTACGGCATTTTACACAGTTGATGTTACAAAATGTCTCAGAGGGCACAGACAGAAGGAAAAACTTGATTAACATTCATTACAAAAACTGAGAAATTTAGAATATTGAGTGAAAGACAGGCAGAGTGGAAATAAAACCCTAATTCTTTTACCTTTTTTCCCCTCATTTAAGTACCATGCTGCCCAGCTGGACTGATGGTAACTCAGGTCACCCAAGCAATAATCAATGTGAGCTGGAGTATTGGGGCAGTGACCCAAACGTATGTGACAGTTCTGGAATCCCATGCTGGACAATCCATGTGTCAAACCCATCAGAACCATTGTCTCCTGGGATGCATTACATGTGGCATCAACTACACGGTGGCACTAAAGGCTGTTAGTGCTACAGGGTTGACTTCAGAATGTGCCTACCAAAGTTACTCTTCCAGTAAGTGAATTCTAAAACTCTAGCACTGGACTATCGGTATGAACTTGACTATTCCAAGGCCAGGCACAACCTTTCTTCCTTTCCATCTTTAAAAGGATGCTGCAAGCTGGGCTCTGGTGACCCATACCTATCATTCTAGCTACCTAGGAGGCAGGGACTGGGAGGATTTGAGTTTGAGGTCAGCCTGGGCAAAAAGTTCATGAGCCGTCATCTCAACAGAAAAAGCTGGGCATGGTGTGACATGTGTGTCATTCCCGCTCCAGGGAGAAGTATAAATACCAGGATCAGCTTAGAGAAAAAGCCAGACCCTATGTCAAAAATCACCAGAGCAGAAGGGGCTGCACAAGTCACTATGGAGTGTCTAACAAGTGTGAGGCCCTGAGTTCAAACCCCAATAACACCAACAAAAATGCTGCATTTCCACCCAGCTTGCACTATCATTCGGATTCTTAAATGTTTGCAGTTTCCCCCTTGACTTAGAACCTCAAAGCTTAGGCCTCTGTTGGTAATCGGGAAGCCCCAGCCTCCTGAGTAGCTGGAATTACAGGTGTGAGACACTGGCACCAGGCTACTGTTAAGCATCTTTATGTTAGTTACTGAGAATGCTGCATCTGGTATTCTGACTGACAAAGTGTGGCCCTTTTCAGATGTTCAGAAGAGGCCCAAAGAAGACCTAACATCTACTACCAGTGAACTAGGGAGCAGTGAACTTGGTCACCAGACTGTCAAGGAAATGGCTGCTCTTGAGGCCACATGCCATTGGACTCAGCAAACTGTTTCTAATTAGAGCGGAACACATTGCATTTCTTTTGAACTGGTACTTGAACTCAGGGCCTCATGCAGTTGTTTAGCTTTTTTGCTCAAGGCTGGTAGTACTCACCACTTGAGCCACTCTGCCACTTCTGGCTCTTTGCTGGTTAATTGGAATTTGTCTCACAAATGACTCTGCCCCAATTTTGAACTGAGATCCTCAAATTTTAGGCTCCTGAGTAGCTAGGGTTACAGTATGAGTCGCTTACCCCCAGCTTCCCAATGAATTCTTGTGTTTTGCCAGTACTGGGGTTTAAATCAGGACCTTGTGCTTGCTAGGCAAGCACTCTTCCATTTACTCCTGCCTCGATTCCTGAAATGAATGACATTTAAGCTTAATTCCACTGAGGTAAAATGAAACTAAGACATCACAAGAAATCTTGAACGGAGGGGGCTGGGAAGGTGGCTCAGTGGTAGAGCACTTGCCTTGCATGCATGAGGCCCTGGGTTCGATTCCTCAGCACCACATAAGCAAAAAGAAAAAAAGCCGGAAGTGGCGCTGTGGCTCAAGTGGTAGAGCGCTAGCCTTGAGCTGAAGAGCAGAGGGACAGTGCCCAGGCCCAGAGTTCAGGCCCACGACTGAACCCTCCTAAAAAAAAAAAGAAATCTTGAAAGGATTCTTTGCACTTGACTCACAGATTAAGTCATGTACAATACAATTTAATCTCTTCCAACTGTGGGCCTTTTTGACTCATCTGTAGTCTATATTAAAAAGTCACAACCAGCACTGGTGGCTCACACCCGCAGTCCTAGCTATTCAAGAAGCTGAGATCTGAGGATCACTGTTTGAAGCTGTGAGATTCTTATCTCCAATTAAATAGCAAAAAGCCAGAATTGGAGCTCAAGTACTCAGTACTCTCTCTCTCCGCCTCTCTCTTACACACATACACACTCTCTTTCTCTCTCTCCCTCACACACACACACATTCACACTCCACACCACTGTCACACATGGATCTCTAATCATTTGGTTCAGTAAGGGAAGAATTTGAACATCCCTCCCCCTCAAGTTCATTCCTTATACTATTCTAACCAGTAATCAAGCATATCACTTAAAAGTATTTACGTGTGTGTGTGTGTGTGTGTGTGTGTGTGTGTGTTCCTGTAGTATTAAAGGCCACATTTGATCCTTGATTGCTTTTATCCTGCAGGTGTCTGCTGTCCTTTGGGGGTGAAGGTGTATAGGTTGGGCTCTAATGGCATTCGGATCTACTGGCAAGCTTCCCGGGGCTCTGCCAACTATAGCGCTGACCTCTATGGCTCCAAAGGCATCTTCACGTGTGCCCCAAGTGCTGGCCTCAGTTTCTGTGATGTCACTGAAATTCCCTGTGGGGATGTATATACCGTGATGGTCTCACCAGTTGCTGAAACAGGACAGAAGCTTACTTTCTGTCCCAAAAAAATATATTCAGGTAAAGAACGTACTGGCCCTTTATTTAAAATCAACCCTTCCCCCTGTGTTCATACCTGTCATCCTAGCTACTCAGAAGGCTGAGATATGAGGATCAAGGCCCAAAACCAGCCCTGGCAGGCAAGTTTGTGAGATTCTTATCTCCAATTAACCACATAATAAACAAACAAACAAACAAAAAACACCTGGAAATGGAGCTGTGGCTCAAGAGTTAGAGTGCGATTCTTGAGTGAAAAAGCTAAGGGACAAAAATATAAAGAAATCTCAACTCAGAACAATCACACTTAATTGATGTGAGCTCTCTACAGATAAATGTGAACTCTCTACAGGCTACAAGAGACCCTCCAAGTCTCTGGAATTGTGATGCTTTCTTATTATTTAATTTGGAGATTTTCTTCTCATTCCTTCCCTCTCTTCTTCAGAAAAGGGACTAGAAGCTTACACTTAAATAGTAAGGAACATTTTAAATGATTTGAGATTTTTAACTTGTCATAGAGATTATGTTAGACACCCAAGAATGTTGGAAAAATCGAGATCTGAACTTAATTGTTGTTGTTATTTGTACTTGTACTGGGGCTTGAACTCAGGTCCTAGGTGCTATCTCTTAGTTTTTTCACTCAGGCCTAGTGCTTTACCACTTGAGCCATAGCTCTGCTTCTGGCTTTTTGGTGATTATATGGAGATAACAGTCTTATGAACTGTCCTGCCTAGGATGGAATCCGTAGATTCCATCAAACTGGAATCCTCAGATCTCAGTCTTCTGAGTACGATTACAGGCATATGCCAGAGATGCCCAGCTTGAACTTTTATTTGAAACTAAGACTTATGACTGCTGGTAGAAGATCAGAGAAAAAGAAATCTATAAATCATAAAGTAGGTTTGGAAAGATGTGTGGGCCATCTGTGATCACAAGACACGGTGGTCAGCTGTGCCATCATAGCTGAGCTGAGAGGAAAACATTCACAAGTCTCCCACTGTTCTAGTACCTTCTGCCACCTTGCCCAGGGCATAGCCATCTATTTTTCATGTATTTCTAAAGGGAAAAAAAAGAGATGTGGAAGCACTTGAGCCTTGCAGGTGAACTCAGAAAGATGATCCAGTGGCTCAGAAACCTTTATTAATAAACTATGAAAAATTTCTCATTAAATGTACCCCCGACAAGAGGTTCAAGATGGCTCTTAGTGTTGGAACAAGGCCAGCTCCTCCTGAAAGCATGTCCTCAATGACCTTGAATGTCATGCTCTGATTCCTTGTCTTTTCATTACCTTGTCCCCGAAGCAAAGCTCTATGGGAAGAGACAGAAATAGACTCTTGGGGGGGTGAGAACTAGCCCTTAGGTTGAAGAGCCTACAGCTCAATGACCATATTTCATCACATTTGCCTAATGTTATGCAATTTATCAAGTGTTGCTGCTGTTTATTTTGTTAATGTTCACAATAACCCTAAAAGGTAGAGTCTGCAGATTTTATTAGCTCCAATTAACAAAAACTGAGTCTCAATGGTCCCCAAATCTACAACCTTTCTGTTCTCCTAATCTCTAAATTCATAGTCACATATTTTTTGTTTGTTTCTGACTTTGAATTTTATTATGTTGTCTATACTGGCCTCAAACTCCTGAGCTCAAGTAATTGTCTGCTTCATCCTCTGGAGTAGTTGGGACTATACGGGTGCATGCCTTCATCTCAGGTGCCTAAGTCCATATTCAGACCTGATACTTTCCACCTGGAGGTCCCCCTGACAAACTCCTCAAGGTAGAGATTGGGGGATTGTAGCTCAAAGCCAGCCCAGACAAAAAGAAGTTTATGAGCTTCCATCTCAACCAATGGCTGAATGTGGTGGCACATGCCTGTCATCCGAGCTTTAGGGGAAACATGCAGTCGTGAACCCCAGCCACAAGGAGGAGCACAGCCAGTCCAGTGCTGGTAGCTCAAGCCTGTAATCCTAGCCACTCAGGAGGATGAGATCTGAAGCTTGTGGTTTGAAGCCAGACTAAGCAGGAAGGTTCATTGGACTCTTTAGCTCTAATTAACCATCAAAAACCAGAAGGGGAGGTATGGCTCAAGTGGAAGAGTACCAGCCTAATTCCATCCTCAGTATTAAAAGAAAAGAAAGGAAAAGAAAAAAGAATAGGTGAATTGATGTTTATAATTGCACAGCTAAGTAAATGATCTGATGGAAGTCTTCCCACCTCCTGGCTCCTTAGCATTCCACAGGCTAGGCATGTGGCTTAGTGGTAGAGTGCCTGCCTAGCATGCATGAAGCCTTGGGTTCAATTCCTCAGTACCATATAAACAGATGCTGGAAGTGGCTCAAGTGGTAGAGTGCTAGTTTTGAGCAAAAGAAGCTTAGGGACAGTGCCCAGGCTCTGAGTTCAAGCCCAGGACTGGCAAGAAGAACAAGGAGGAGAGGAGGAAGAGGAGGAGGAGAAAGCAACAGCATTCCTCTGGTGGCTTGCCACCAGAAGTCCTTGTTAGAACTCATCCAGATACCCTTTGGTTAGGTGCCCTATCAAGTCTGAAGCTCTTCACTTTCACTAGACACAAGTTAAAAATTCACCTCTGCTCTGTCTCCTTGGTATAAAACAAACATGGCTTTCATGTCTGCCTGTTGGAGGCAATATCGGTGGTGCCTTCTTTTGGTCATTGGGACAATTTTGTAAATAATAATTAGGAAATACTATTTATTAGGTGCTGTGTGCCAGGCACTATCCTAAGAGCTTTACACATATAAACTTAGTCCTTACTGCAAATCTGGCTTCAAACAGATATTCTTATTCCTACCACTCTATAGATAAACTGAGGCACAATGAAATGATTTGTCCAAGGTACCACCTTTGCTTAACATCCAAATTTGATCTTATTCATCGTTGATTTACTTTACTCCTGTGTGTGTGCACTGGTATAAGGGTTTGAACTCAGGCCTCAGGCTCTTGTTCTGGTGCTCTACCACTGTGAACCACTCCTCTAACCTGGCATTTTTTTCCTGATGTATGCCTCCACCTCAAGTGCAATTAATTGAAGATGGAGTCTCCCAGACTTTTTTTCTTGGGCTGGCTTCAAACCATAGTCTTTCAGGTCTCCGCCTCCTAAACCAACACCCTTCTTCCCTCCCTTCATTTTTCTTTCCATCTTCCTTCTGTGATACTGGGAATCTGACTGAGGATCTCATGTCTATCTACTACTGAGCTAATATCCTCAGCCATTTTTCATTGTATTTTGAGACAGGATCTTAGCAAGTTGCAAAGCCCTCTTATACCTCTGTTTCTTAAGGATGTGGGATTACAGGTGTGTGACACCACCCCTGGTCCTTTTAGATTATTGCCTCAATCTTAAATACATCAACAAATGCATTTTTCAGTGCTTGTTTTTTTTTTTAATTGTAGTAACCTGCTCTGGAAGTACACTGGGAATGGGTAAGTCATTTTTCTCATAAATAATTAGAAGAGGGCTGGGAAGGTGGCTCAGTGGTAGAGCACTTGCCTTGCATGCTCGAGGCCCTGGGTTCAATTCCTCAGCACCACATAAGAAAAAAGCCGGAAGTGGCGCTGTGGCTCAAGTGGTAGAGCGCTAGCCTTGAGCTGAAGAGCTGAGGGACAGCGCCCAGGCCCAGAGTTCAGGCCCCACGACCGGACCCCCCCCAAAAATAATTAGAAGAAGAAATTAATTAGAAACAAATAATTATTGGTGCATTTTGGAGTTATTTCATGAAGTTAGGTTTGAAACTGAAGGTACATTAGTCAGAAAGCCAAATTCTTTCATTGATAACATGTGAATTCTGCTCTCTTCTTTCCATTAACCTTCCCTCCCTTAGTATATATATTACCTGCTCTCAGATTCCACTAATTGAGATGAATTCCTTTGCATTGTGAATTCTTTTTAGTCTTTTAGAAAGTTGTTGTTTTTTGTTTTGTTTTCTTTTTGGAGAGGCAACTGTTTAACGTTTCCTACTTCTGAAGTTGGTTCCCAGCTCTCCTGCCTTGGAATTCTCTCGAGAGTTTGAAATTAACTGATGCCTGGGCTCTCCCTGCAACTACCACCATCAAGTCTACCTCCCCCCTGGTGATTCTAAATGTAGCCACGGCTGCATTAGAACCATTAGAACAGGGCTCCTCCAACTGTGCATGCAAATGACCGGCACCTTGTTAAACCTGAAGTCTAATTGGTTAGGCATGGTAGGGTCTGAAACTTGGTACTTCTAATAAGGTCTGCCCACTGCTGGTATAGCTCATTACTGATCTGGCCACACATAGTACATAGTTAGAGGGGATTCCTTCCTGCCTTCCTCCCTCCCTCTCTCCTTCCTCCCCTCTCAACCCTTCTTTCCCTCTTCTTCCTTTTCTATTTCTTTCTATTTGGCACTACTGGGGTTTGAACTCAAAGTCTTGTGCTTGCTAGGCAGTCTCACACTTGAACTATGCCCCCAGTCCTTTTTGCTCTTGTTATTTTTCAACGAGTCTCATATTTATTCCTGGAACAGCCTATTTACCTTTCCAGATTAGCAGGGATGATACACACCAACTTTTTGTTGTTTAGATAGGGTCTCTCTCTCTCTCTCTCTCTCTCTCTTCCTCTCTCCTCCTCCTCCTCCTCCTCTCATCTCCCCCTTCCTCTCCCTTTCCCTCTCTCCCTGTCCCTCATGCTGGTACTGAGGCTTGAACTCAGGGCCTCATGATTTCATTTGGCTTTTTTGTTCAAGGCTGGCTGTCTACCACTTGAACCACACCTCTACTTCTGAGACAGGAGTCTCTTGAATTTATTTTTGCCGAGGTTGGGCTGCAGAATTCAGTCTCTCAAGTAACTAGGATTACAGGCATGAGCTAGGATACATAGCTGTTTAAAGGGATTTTTTTTCACAGCCTGCAGAAACATAGATATTTGCATCTGGTGTATATGGAGGGGCATGCTTTGTGGAGAAGAGGGCTACTGAAGGAAGTAGGAGAAAAGAGAGCCCAGAGTTTCTCTTCAGTTTTGCTTAAGAAGATCCCATTTACCCCAGGAGGTTACTCTTGAGCAGAGAGAATAGTAGAGAGGACCCGTGGAGCTAAGTGGGGTGACATAAGTAAGTAGCATATGTTGCTTCTTGAGGAATCCTTGCTACACTCCTCTAGGGGATGGTTTGGTTTGGGGCGGGGGAGGGTGGCACCTAGGAACCCTCCCAGGACTATGATCCTACTATAGAACTCACCTTCGGCTCCCAGGCACACATGGCTAACTTCAAGTGAGAGCAGAAATGAAGCCTTCCTGCCAACACGCCCAAGGGACAGGCTGGGCTGAGGGGGCTAGCCCCGCCACCCAGCACCTCCTTCCACCACAGGGCGTGAGTTTGGAGCCTCTCCCACTGCCTGTTCAGTCTATTGCTTCTGAGAGCCCAGCAGGGATACGCTTTCCTGTCCCACCTGCAGGTCTAAAATAAGCACAGTCCCTATCAATTTTGCAAGTGTGTTTCAGACCTGGCTGAATGAAAACAAACTGAGGAAGAAAATAAAAGTGTATTTAGGAGCTGTAGCTTCATTATAGAACACGTGTTTAGCATGTGCAAAACCCTGGGTTTGATCCCCAGAAGAAACAAAAAAGGATCCTTTTCAAAAGGCCTGGTTTTCAGCAAAAGGCACATGAACCTAGGACTGCAGTCCTAAAATGTAATTCTAGTTTTATGGTTGTTTTATATGGCTCTTCCCCTGAGCCATAGGGAGGGTAGTAGAAGTGTCTTGGGAGCCTACAGAAGGTGAGAGATGATGTATTATCTCTTGGTCTTCCTTAAGATAATTGTTAAAATAAGAGTGACAATGCAGTGGGGTATGGGTAGCTCATGCTTGTAATCCTAGCTACTCAGGAGGCTGAGATCTGAGAATCATGGTTCAAACCCAGCTTGGGCAGGAAAGTCCATAAACCTCTTATCCACAATTAGCCACCAAAAAGCCAGAAGTGGAGCTGTGGCTCAAGTGGTAGAGTACTAGCCTTGAGTGAGAAAGCTAAGGGACAGTACCCAGGCTGTGAGTTCAAGTCCCAGTATTGGCTGGCATGCACACACACACACACACACACACACGCACGCACACACACACACACACACACACACACACACACACAGGTGCAATGATGCTTTAAATAAACTCTTGGAAACCATTATTCCCAGAATGCACTACTCAGCAGCACCAGAGAGCTTGTTTAAAAATGTATATAATCTGAGCCAGATGTGGCTAGGAAAACTCAGCCTTTGGGCTAAAATCAATTATCTCTTAAAATAGATTTTTTTTAGTGTGTAGAAATCCTGCAGGATCTTCAAAAATCAAAAGTAAGCCAGGTCATCTGAGGTTCCTCTACAGTAATACGGAAATCATTGTATCTGGGAGGAAGTTCCTGTCTTCAGTTATAGTCTCCACCCTGAACACAGGACAAGTCAAATCAGAACCCAGGCTGACACAACACTGAAGGATATGCTCAGGGAAGCTGTGGGGATCTTGTTACTTTAAGATTTTTGGTCTGACTTGCCTCTGGGAGTATTTTAAAGCTTGTCATGACATGAATTGTCTTTCTAAGCAATAGATCTAGATTCATATCTGTGTGTGTGTGTGTGTGTGTGTGTTGCTAATGGGATTGGAACTCTGGACCTCATATTCTCACTTAGATTTTTCTCTAAAAACCAAAAGGTTAGTGATTTGAGCCATACCTTTACATCCTGGATTCAGAGTTTATTGTTATGATTTGTCCATAAGTTTCCTAAATTCTCTCTCTAACCTGTATTTAGGTTTCTTTATAGAAAAATTGGAATAAATAATAATTACCTCATCAAACATAATCATTAAATGAAATGTAAATTTCTGTACTCAATGACATGTCCATACTAAGTAACCAATAAGTGGCAGTTATTAATTCAACAGGTATCAATTTAAAGTCACATCATACTCTATTATATTATGAACCAGTTATTAATTTAAAAAATTATAGCCAGGTGCTATTGGCTCATGCCTGTAATCCTAGCTACTCAGGAGGCTGATATCTGAGGATCTCTGTTCAAAGCCATCCTAGGCAGGAAAGTCTGTGTGACTCTTTATCTCCAATTAACCACTTCTGGAAGTGGTTCTGTAGCTCAAAGAGGTAGAGTGCTAACCTTGAACAAAAAAATAGCCCAGGGACAGTGCCTAGGCCTGAGTTTAAGTCTCACAACCAACCAAAAACTAGTGTGTGTGTGAGTGTGTGTATATGTGTGTGTATGTATATATGTACATTTAACCAAGCAGTTTATTAATACATCTTGAGCAATGTCATCCTTTTCAACCTTCTCATTCATCCCTCCCCTATTATCCCTTATTGATATGTTAATGTGCTACTTCTAACTATGATACTTGTATTTTAACCTTGAAAACCAATACCTCTAGAGTTTGCTACTCATCAGTTGTCACCAGAGCTTGTTCAAAATGTATGATCTGGGAACCCAGACACTGGTGGCTCACTCCTGTAATCCTAGTTACTCAGGGAGCCTGAGATCTGAGGAACCTGGTTTAAAGCCAGCTCAAGCAGCAAATCCAAGAAACTCTTATCTCCAATTAACCATCAAAAAGCCAGAAGTGTGGCTCAAGTGGTAGGGTGATAGCCTTGAGTGAAAAAGCCAAGCAAGAGAGGGAGGCTCTGAGTGCAAGTCCAAATACATACATATACACAGCAAGAGAGGGAGGCTCTGACTTCAAGTCCAAGTACACACACACACACACACACACACACACACACACACATGTCAGGAGGATCATGAGTCTAATACTATCCTGCAAGAGCCCCCAAAGCTAAGAGTAAGCTTGGTCATCTAAGGTGCCCTCCTTAGCCCTTATGGTACCCTAACTACTGTTTTTTTTACACTGTTTCTGGTCACAAACAGCAGCAGCAGCAGCAGCAGTTCTGGAACGCTTATAGAAATGTAGTTGCAGAGGTTTTTCCAGATAACATTGATGTAGCATTCTGGAGCTGGGCCCAGCCATCTTTGTTCAAACAAGCCTTCCAAGTGATGCTGATGTACCCTAAAGCTTGAACACCATGGCTCTCATTCTGGAAAGCTATTTTGATGCTTGAAAGTTGGTGCAGGTTGGAAGAGAAAGGAGAAGAATCTATTTGCAATGACAGGCGGAGGGGCTGGTGTTTGACATCTTTCTGTGAGACAATCCTTACCTTTGGCATCCAGTCTGTTTCAGTGTCACCTGACCATGCAGGGAACTTTTAGAACATTTTTCTTTCCTCAGCGTCTGTGGAGGTTGAACAGGTTTTAGGTTTGTAGATAGAACTGGCTGAATGGGCAAGCAGGGCCTGAGGGTGGAAGGGAATGCTACTTACCCTAACTCTAAGAAGCCCCAAAGAGATTCTTTCTTTTTTTTAAATTCTTATTTTTAGATCTGAGGACTGGACTCAGGGTGTTGCATTTTCTAGACAAGCTCTCTACTACTTGAGCCACACCTTTAGTCTTTCACTTTTAGTTTACTTTTATCAGATAGGGTCTCAAACTTTTGCCCAGTCCAGCTTCAAACCATGATTGTCCTTCCACTGTGGGTCTGAGAAGCCTGAAAACAAATATGTACCACCACATCTGGCTCAGAAAGACTCATAGGGAGAATTCCATGAAGAAGGAGAGACTCACCCTGGTTAGTCAGAAACGCTGGTCAGTTCAAATAGTGTGTCCTTTGAACCATTCAGATTGTCCCATTTCCTCCTTACTTATTATATGGTGCTGGGAAAAAACCCTCACATTTCAAACTAAAATTCTAGTAAAAAAAATCTCAGGGACATTCATACTTTTCAGTTTAAGAGAACACTTGCATATTTCCTTGACCTTTCCTCGTCCTTTTCAGTGATTTACAGAGGGAAGAGAAATGCAGAATAACACTGGGACCCCTGAATAAAAGCAGGGACTTGACTGAGTAAGTAATATAAATTGATTTTGTATGATTCTACAGCAAAAAAAAAGGTGTTTTTTTTTATAACCTCTCCTTATTTCTTTTGCAGAGTTGTCTCAACTTTTTCGTAGTTAGAGATGGAAAAGATCCAAAATGCCGCTAGGATAGGAAAAGCTCATTTTTGGCTTCCTAGAAGAGTAACTGACTCTGCTTCCAGAAGACAAGGTCAAGTGTGTCATCCGCTGCAGAGGAGTTCATGATAAGCTGCTCAGAGGACTCTATGGAAAAATGGCTCCAGAAAAGGCCCTCCGGAAAGCAGCCAGAGTGAGCCAGCATACTCCAACAGCCCTGAAAGCATAAAAGCTCTGCTTAAGCCAACTTTTCCTGAGATTTCACATCCAGACACACTACAGACTCTTTTTTTTTTTGGAAACAGCCCCTTTCCATCCCTTGCTGGGATTACAGGTGTATTCTACTGTCTTCTGCTCTATATTACATACTTAACACATCTACTTCGTGAGTGTACCATTAACATCAGAAATTGCAATGCAGCCCGCTAGCCACTGGAGGATTAAACAAAAATGTTCACTCCCAGAGAAATCAAGCCACACAAGGACAGCCCTCATCCCCAGCTCAGCATCCACCAGGATATTGGGTTGAATAACAGCAGCTGCCAGTGGTAATAAACTCTCTCACTGCGAGTTACCAGGGAAGCTGAGCTGCCTGCAGAGTTCTCAGAGCCAATCTCTGTCACATGACTTGACATCTGGAAAAGCAGAGCTGCTGTTGTTCATCTGTTGCTCTAAAGATTGCTGGCCTACTTTCTGAGTGAGCAAAGGTGTCAGATGGAGGGGACACAAAGGCAGGGCCTCGAAATAAAGCAGACAGGCTGGCATAGATGCATCTTTCCAGGGGCAGATTTTTGTCAGTCTTGTTGGCTTTGTAACCGCTTTTCTCATCTTTGGAGAGGAAAGGCGATGATATATAACATAAATCTGCTGTTGTACCTAGAAAAATGTTTGTCCTTTGAATACCAGGAGCTTAATTAAAAATAGTGTGAGTGCCAGGTGCCCGGGCCTCATGCCTATAATCTTAACTACTCAAGAGACTGAGATCAGAGGATTTCAGTTAAAAGCCAGTCCAGGCAGGAAAGCCTGGGAGACATTTACCTCCAATTAACCACACACACACACGCACACACACACACACACACACACACACACACACACACACAGAGCCAGAAGTGTGGCTCAAGTGGCAGAGCACTACTAGCCTTGAGAAAAAGAAAGAGACAAACAAAAATCTTAGGGACAGGGCCCAGGCCCTGAGTTCAAGCCCCAGGACCAAACCATACACACACACACACACACACACACACACAGAGTATGAGTAGTATTTATATGTAGCACATACACATATACACACAGTGTGTGTATGAGAGAGAGAGAATATGTTTAGCCCCCCCCCCAAAGCATGATTATGGATCCAAGGATGTCTGTGGCTGGGAACAATTATAAAATGGGACCAAGCCGGGCGCTGATGGCTCAAGCCTGAATGCTAGTTACTCAGGAGATTGAGATCTGAGGACCACGGCTTAAAGCCAGCCCATGTTCCAGCAGGAACATCCATGAAACTCTTATCTCCAATTAGCCACCAGAAAGCCAGAAGTGGTAGAACACTAGCCTTGAGCTGAAGAGCTGAGGGACAGCACCCAGGCCCAGAGTTCAAGCCCCACAATCAATAAAATAAAATAAAATGGGACCAAGCTGGGTGCAGGTGGCTCATGCCTGTAATCCTAGTTTACTCAGTAGGCAGAGATCTGAGGATCACAGTTCGAAGCCAGCCTGGATAGGAAAGTCTGCAAGTCCCTATTTCTACTAAATTACCCCTCCCCCCCCAAAAAAAAGCTGGATGTGGTGCTGTGGCTCAAGTGGTAGAGCACTAGCCTTGAGCAAAAGAAGCTCAGGGACAGCACCGAGGCCCAGAGTTCAAGCCCCAGGACAGGCCAAGAATAAACCTCAAACATTATCACGAAGTTATAAGGCCAGCATTGGAAGGAAAATAAATGTGCCTCCTTTCCCTTTCTAAGGTAGCTTATTGAAATCTAAGAGAGAAAGTGACATAGTTTGTCAATAAGACTCATCAGCAAATTAGGTGTGGTAGTACATGCCTAGAATCTTAGTTTAGGAGGCTGAGGTGGGAGAATCTTCAGATTAAGATCCAGCCTAAACTACATAACAAAACCTTGTTTTAAAAAAGGTGGGACTGAGCCTGGACACTGCTAGCTCTTGTTTTTAATCCTAGCTAATCAGGAGGCTGAGGTGTGAGGATAGTGTGTTGAAGCCAGTTGGAGAAGGATGATCCATGAGACTCTTATCCCCAATTAACCACCCAAAAGCCAGAAGTAGAGTTATGATTCAAGTGGTAGAGTGCTAGCCTTGAGAAAAAAAGAAAAGAAAAGCTCAGAGACAGCACCCAGGCTCCGAGTTCAAGCCCTAGAACCGGCATACCACAAAAAAAATTAAAATTAAATTAAATTATATTAAAAAGGGGGTCTGGAAGCATGGCACCACAATAGAGCTATCAGGCAAGTACACCACCTGGAGTTCAAATTCCAGCAGCACCAATAATAAATAAATAAACAAGTAGAGAAACATAATGTGTCACTGATAGTAGACTCATCCCAGAGTATCTGCACTTGGAGAAGACACTGTTTTTTTTATATATTAAATTTTAAAAAAAAGTCAGTCATGGACTTGAAATCAGGGACCAGTCACTGTCCCTGAGTTCTTTTGCTCAAGGCTAGCACTCTACCACTTTGAGCCACAGCACCATTTCCCTGGGATGGGGAACTTTGACCTGTGATCCTCAGATCTCAGCCACCCGAGTAGCTAGAATTACAGGCATGAGCCACCGGTGCCTGGCTTTTTAAAATTGTTCTTATGCAAGTGATGTATAGAAGGGTTGCAGTTACATAAGTCAGGCAAAGAGTACATTTCTTTTTTGGACAGTGTCACTCCTTCCCTGGCTCCCTCCCAGTTTTTCTCCCTCCCATCCCTGCCCACAAATTGCATAGTTCATTTTCAACATAGTGTCCAGGAAATACCACAGCTATGTTTGTTCACCCATGGGACACTGGTTCTTTAAAGTGGAGGGGTGCATCAGGCAGGACATAGGAAGGGGCTGAGTGCACTTCACTGTTGCTCCTAAACATCAGAGAGTCTCCCCAAGCAGAGTATCACTCAGAGCCTCATTATCCACATTACTCATCAATTATTAGTGAAGACAATCTGGAAAACATAATGGAACATAAGCCACTTGGCCTAACTCTTGTGCTTGTACATTTAGCCCTTTGTTATTTTGCATTTCTTTGGTTTTGTAAATTATAAGAAACAGCTTTTGATCTCTGGCCAGCGTTGGATTTTTACCTTCAGTCTGCTGTGTCATGAGACTCTGAATTCATGTTTTAGTTTGTTTAGTAAGCCAACTAGAGGCCACCTAGAGAAAGAGCTCAGGAAAATTATGCAGAACTGGGGAGCAGGAAGGAAGACAAGATAGATCCGGATCCTGATTTATCTGGAGAATTTATATTCTTCTCATTTGTGAAATGAGGGTAAAGATCGTTTTTGTGCTGGGTTGTTGCTAATGCAATGGAAATGCTTAAATTTACATTGCTATGGCTCTGTGAGCCTGATTGCGTGTGTGTGTGTGTGTGTGTGTGTATGTGCGCGCATGTGTGTGCAAGCATGTGTGCAACAGTACACCAGTACTAGGTCTTGAACTTAGGGCTTTGTGCTATTACTTGGCTTTTTCACTCAAGGCTGGCGCTCTACCACTTGAGCCATATCTCCACTTCTGGCTTTGTGCTGATTAGTTGGAGATAAAAATCATAGAGATTTTTCTGTCCAGGCTGGGTGTAAACTTCAATCCTCTCATCTTAACTTCCTGCAAAGCTACGATTGCTATAGGCATGAACCACTGGTGCCCTGTATAAATCTAGCCTTTAGAAGGATGCTCTACAACGTCACTCTCTGTGACCAACCCAGAAAGGCACTTTATGTCATTCCCTGGCACTTGCTTATTCTCCTCAAGGATATGAGGTTTCAGCCACTTTACTCTTTTCTCTTGGTTTGGTTGTCCCCCACCCAGGTGTGGAGCTCCACTTGAGAAAGGTTTGAATGTTATGGATTTTTCTTATAGATTAGGTCTCCATCCTAAAGCTAAGCTGGTCCTAATTTAAAATTGAAAAGAGAGCAGGAGAATAATGGTGCATTTATCTAAAATTATGACTAGCCAGGTCAATTTAAAGTAAGAACAAAGGACACCAGGGCTCCAGCTTCTATTTTTCAGAAGCCATTATTTAAAAAAAGTCATGCCACAGGTTGTGCCAGAACCCATTTTCTGCTCCCCTCCCCCTATTCTTCACTATGCTTTGCTCTCCTACAAGTTGCAAGTTGTCTTACAATAAATATTCTGTTGCTTTTGGTGTAGGCCAACCCAGCACTAGCTGTGCACCCTCGGCATTAATTTAACTGCATTAATCCTGTTTCCTTATCTGTAAAAAGTGCTTTGGAGATTAATCAGATCATTTACTTTACTCAGTACATAGCATACATGAAGCAGCCGGCAAATATTGAACATAATTAGCAGTCCTAGTCATCAACCATTCCCAGCTGTTTTTTGTTGTCATTCTGTTTTGTTCTGTGCCAGTCTTAGGGCTTGAATTCAGGGCTTCTCACACTCACTTGGCTTTTTTTGCTCAAAGCTGGTGCTGTATCACTTGAGCTACATTTCCACTTCCAGCTCCTTGCTGGTGAATTGGAGGTAAGATTCTCATGGGCTTTGCTGTCCAGGCAGGCTTCAAACCTCAATCTTCAGACCTCAGCCTCCTAAGTAGCTAGAATTACAGTTGTGAGCCACCAGCACCTGGCTATCATTTCATTTCTTTTTTTTTGGGGGGGGGGTCCGGTCATGGGGCCTGAACTCCCTCAGCTCTTCAGCTCAAGGCTAGCGCTCTACCACTTGAGCCACAGCGCCACTTCCGGCTTTTTTCTTTTTGCTTATGTGGTGCTGAGGAATCGAACCCAGGGTCTCATGCATGCAAGGCAAGTGCTCTATCACTGAGCCACCTTCCCAGCCCTATCATTTCTTTTTATGACAAACTTTATTAAAACTATTAGCTCTTAGTCGAGCTCCAGTAGTTTATGCCTATAATCCTAGCTACTCAGGAGGATGAGATCTGAAGATCTTGTGTTGAAACCAGCCCAAGCAGGAAAGTCTGTGAGACTCTTATCTCCAATTAAGCACCTCCCCCTCAAAAAAAAAAAAGCCAGAAGTGCAGCTATGGCCCAAGTGGTAGAGCACTAGTAGCTCAGGGAAAGTGCCCAGTCCCTGAGTTCAGGCCCTAGGATAGGAAGCCACACACACATACACACACACAAATAAACTTTTGGAGAAAGTAAATTTTCCATTTGCTAGCTGAGCTGCCTTCTGGGTGAAATATACTGTAAGTCTTTGTGAATGAAAAATTTATTTTATTAGAGTCTCGTTTTCTCTATCTAGATATATGTTATCTAGATATATATGTATTTATATCCATCTATCTATAGATATATATTTTATGTAGATATAGCTATATCTATAACTATATATCTATCCGTATCTACATATTTACAGATACAGATATTTGTTATCTAGATAGATATAGATGTTTCTATAGATATCTATAGATATATCTAACTATCGATAGATAGCTAGGTATAGATATATAGATACGTATGTCTAGCTATATCTATAGTTATATCCATGGCTAGACATAGACATCTAGACAGACATTTGAATGAATAATTTCGGGGATCTTGTTAGTTCACAATCAGCTGCTCGCTCACATGTTCGCTTTCCGCGGTTTCAGTACTTGGAACCTCCAGCTACAGCAACCTCCCGCCAGGGGGCAGCAGACCTGCACTCGGCATTCCGCTCGTGGTGGGGCCCAGCCTGCGTCCCGACGTGGGCGGGAACCCGGCCCCCCCCACGCGAGTGACGTCACCAGAGGGCGCGGTTCCTGGCGGGGGCGGGGCCTTCCCGCCGCGAGGGGCGTGGCCGTCGGAAGCGCCGGCTTCCAAGGCCAAGTAGGTTGTGTGAGCCGGAGGCGGAGGCCGCGGCTCCTCAGCTTGGGGGAAGATGGCGCCGCCGGTGACAGAACGGGGGCTGAAGAGCGTCGTGTGGCAGAGTGAGTGCGCTGGGAGGGTAGGACCTGAGAGGAAGAAGGCGGGTGAGCCGCCTTGCTGGGCCTGGCTCTCCCGCCGCCGCCCCGCAGCGGCCTCGGGGCGCCGCGCCGCGCACTTGTTGCTTTGGGTC